GTTGGTTGTGTGTGAGGGAATAGACCACAAAGTAGGAGCAACTCTGAATCTTAATTTCAACAGTTTCTTGGTAACTGCTCACAGTGATAATTATTTCAGGCAAAGAAGTAAAGACCCATTACTGATTTGAACAAAAAGTTCAAACAACACAAACTGATTTTTAAAACTACAGTACAGTGCTCCCTCAAATATTGAGGGGGTTACATTCCAAAAGCTACCGTGGTTGAAAAAATTCATGAAGGAGTAACAATACATTTACAGAGTATTTTACCTCTTTACAAACCCTCCCTGCATTCTTATAAACCTCAGATATGTTGTAATAAACACTTTCCACACTTACAGTATGAGAGACCAAAACATATATAACATTTGTATAAATATCAGTTAATAAGTGCTCTGGTAAGTCATGTCTCATCTATTAGTATATCAATAGAGCTTCTCTAGCTTTCTTATTTTCGATTTCACAGCTCAAGAAACGCGTTTAACAAATTCAAAGACATACATCAACAATTCAGCTATCACATAGAGTGATTTCCCTAGATGTTTACTTCCGTGGAGAAGTTCCATTCTTTGTTTAGTGTGCCTGGTCGAGTCAGCAACTTTAGCAGTACTGAGGGGAAATTACGGGCCAAGTCGCCGACAGTACTATAAGTGTTAAAACATTCTAAAATTCTCCCTTCAATCAACTGTAAAACAATTTTTTTTTCAATAAGCAAACAAATTGTGCTCAAAGACAGCACTTATTTAATCAACGTTCATATTTTGTCAATTAACTTCAAACCCAGCTCAGGGCACATTTCAGCCAAACAAAGCAAAACAAAGATATGAGCAAACAATGAGAAATACCAAAGAACGTGGACAGATTGTTTCTGTAGTTGTGGGATTTATGACAAATGCTGTACGTATCATTTCATGTTTAAAGAGTTAACTGTATTTTTACTTTTTAGGGAACACTTCTTTTTTTTAGTTCAGTTTTATTAAGAGTTTTATGGCACCTGCAGTATAATAAGGTTATAAAAGTGCCGAAGACTTAGAGGTGCTACTAGATAGTAACATTCAAATAGAAGAAGGAGGCAAAATAAGGACGATAAGACTTCTTTACAAATTTTAATGAGTTAAAAACTCTGCCACTCCAAGAAACACAGGGGGTCATTTTTTTTAACCACCCATCTTTAGGCCTACCCATTTGCAAACACAATTTAAGTGTCATACTTTCAATTCGCTAAAATCAATGGAGCAACAACAACTCAAAAATCTGTTCTCACCTTCTGCCTTTTGACCTTGGACATAAGATCATAGACTTCATTCTCTAGGGCTCTGTTTGTGGCATTCAAACCAGCAAGCTGAAAGGTGAAACATTTTTTTTACTCAACAGTACATGATATATCACACATATAGAACTGCATCATACATACTCACAAGCATAATTTAAAAATGAAAAAACTATTGAAGATAATTATAACATACTATTACAGATTTTACATGTTACCGGCTGTCTAACTTAAAATATGTCATCAATGTCTTTCTCTGACTGTGCACATGCACGAACATTGATTTTCAGAAAAATAGGGTGTTATCAACCAACTTTGCTCAATACTTTTGTGTAGGGTGTTCTTTTAACATATAGTCACTGCACAAGCAAAATGGTATAACTCAGAGTTGCACCAAAGTATAGCCAGCCTTTTTTTTTTACTGGTACGATATCTATCTTTTGTTTAAACCAACACAAAAATGCCCTGGTAGTCACAAAAGAAACATGCATGGCAACCAAAAGTAGCAAAAACGAAATGTGCCATTTTGCTGGCGCAATGACTATAATATAATATCATCGATAGTGATTAAGGTTGTGAATAACACAATTTGAGATGAGGAAAGGAAAGGACAAGTTTTCTATTTCTACAGTGTAGCACAAGATAGCCCCTCAAAAGCCAAGAGAAAGACATATGAGAAAACCAAAAAGTTCAAACTTGAATGCACTCAGATTTCTACAGCATACACTCAATTTCGATTTGCACAACCACAGAAATAAGATATACAAAAATCTTGAAATCTTGAATTCCCATTAATCTTTAAGAATGCGTATAGCTGTTTGGGATGGGGAGGGGGGGGGGGGGGCATTGCAGCTTTTAATTGTAAAGAGACATGTTGCGGCTTTACATTGTAAAGAAACATAATGACACATTCGGATTTCTATTTTCATACTGCTTTAAGAAATCACAAATATTACCAAAACAATCATGAACTTAGAAAATGATGAGTTTAGGAAGAAAAAAATGGAGCACACCCATCACTGTAAATGGGTAATTTTGGGAGTTCAGAAACACAAGCACTAGCCAAACAGACAAATGACCTTGACATTGTCAGCCTCCCGGTCCAGCTCCTCCATCTGATGTTTGTGGTCCAGGTCTTTGTGAGCCCACATATCTAGGTTTTTCTGTGCTGCTGCCGCCAAACTCTGCTCCATCATCTGAGAGAAAGTGGAGTCAAGATAAAGTTCCGGTAAGCCAGCACTACGACAGACACACTGCCCCCAATACAGTACAGCTTTAAGTAACTTTAAAATGCTCCTTTCAATTAGATACCAAATTCAACAAGGCAGACCTCTGGCTCTAATATCATCATTATGTAGTTCATTCAAGAACACCAAAAAAAGTTAGTTTTGAGGGCTAAAATGTCTCTATGTTCTAATTGATTAAGGATCCTAATTCATAATCTAAATAATGATAGTTCACTGTTCACTCCATTATAACTGACTGTAAGGCTACGCGTCCACCAAAATAAGATCACCTTCAGGCCAGTCTAATGTACAAAGTTTTTGCATTGTGTAGAACCGACACAAAAAGATCCGCGTCCACCGACGTGAGACCAGCTAAACCTATTCTTAGCCCAGTGTGATTACGAGAATAGACAGCACAGGCGATTTATTTACCACTTTAAAAAAACTAAAAAGCAACAAATTATGATTATGGGGAAAATTGTTGGTAAGTTGGGAGGATGAGAAGAAAAAAAAAAACAAAGAAAAAACCCCCCACAGTGACTGGGATTCGAACCCACTCTTACAAAATAATGATTTTTCTTCAAACGCAGACGCGCTGTTCACTCGGCCATCAAGACTTTCAACAGCGAAGGGTAAATTAAGTTTCATATTTACAGCACTGTTTCAGGAAAGGCAAAGCGACATAGATCGAGATGTAAATCTAGATCTAGACTCTAGCCTACATCTATATCTAGATCTAGTATTTTTACAATGAAGATGGTGAAAATGTCGGAAACAATGCGCTCGATTTGGAAGCAGAGAAAGAAGATATAGACATGTGCTTGGCTAGGTCTAACCTAGCCTATTTTTAGCTCTCCCGAGAACGAAATAATCTAGATCTAGGTCAAGTGCTTTAAATTCTTTTTTTTTTGCTGTTTTTCAGCACAAATCTACTATTGTACAACATATTATAATGAGATACAACTTTATTGATCATGTTAAGTGCAACGAAGAAGCAGAAATGTACTGAAAGAGGCAAATTTCCTTCCAAAATGAGTCGAATTGAGGCTTCATTAGTCACCTGAACGACTGACGAAAAAGCATGCATGCAGGAAAATCGGGTAGTCAGGCAAAGTCGGTCAGTGACTGATGAAAACAAGCTAATTTGCACGTGAGCTTGGCCTGCAAGTGACGAAAAAGCGCGGTGGACGCGGGGCCTTAATGATTAACATCTTAAATCCCCAACATTACAACTTTTATCATCTAGGGAGGTGGGCTGCTTTGACTCAACCAATTGAGGCAACACAGATTGAAATACTCAATAAAATATCATCCCTATGGGAACCAATCTCAAGTCTCCTCCATGCCACATCGTAAAATCGTACCGTTCCAACACAGAGGCCAGTGATCAAGCTCTGATATACACACAAAAATTTACTGTTAAATGTACTGTGCCCACTCTACTATGCCTAGAAAATCACAAACAAGTTTGGATAAAAACCTTGACACAAAAAAGCTACATTTGTTATTTCAAGTTAAGACCTCTTTCTTACGTGATAGCTTATATTATTGGGCCTCTTAAAATTTCAATATTTTATTCATTTCTTCTTGGTCAGCAGCAACATCACCTACCTTTCTCGTCTCGAGTTCACGGTCTCGCTCGGCCTCATCCAGCTTCATTTGTAGTCTTCCTTCCAGCTCAGTCTGCTTGCGGTGCATGTCTTGTTCTGTCCGCAGGGCCTGAGACTGCACAGCAAACTCCCGGTACAGCTCCTGGGTACACAAAGAGGTTGATGTTTATTCAGAACTTGAAAAACTTCAAATCTCCACACTGATTATTTATGAAAAGTTGAAGACTTTTGTTTTAGTTTGCACTGTTTGTGTATGTAAAGAAAAGTACATTGCCACAAAAACATTCTTAGTGCTGGGGAAAAACAAGACAAAAACAACATAGGGGGGAAAAAAAGAAGTAGGACCTACCAGTGGCGCCCTCATAACACCCAAGATAATAATAAACACATAGAACTGTCTCTCCTTGTCTAGGATCAATAATCTTTAACATAGAGACTTCTCCACACTCGTGTCCTGGCAGTCGACTGGATCTTATATATCATGTCTCATCACACACTAACCATTTACCTGTGTACTTTTTGCTTTGTATATTGCTATGACAGAGCTTAGAATATTCAATACTTTCTTCTTGCAGGGCCATCAGCCGCACCTTTTTCCTCAATAAGCACACAGCCTGGACCAACAATAGAGTTGTACTCGCTGACAATGAACTGTCATCGCCAGTGCCCTTTGCTCTTGAGAAAAATTAGCTGCGAAGCATGCGCCCCACAGGCCACACCATTACCGAAATGAAGGGCAAAACATCAATCTTGCCATACTCAAATGAATGCTACACCTTTCCCCCTTACCCTTCATGGGGCTCAATAGAGCCATTGGTGCCCTCTATAGTGAGCTAGAAATACACCAGAGTGCACAGTCTAAGATATGATTATGCAAGTCTATAAGACCAACACTGCAAAAACAACACCATCGGTCCTGATGACAGAAAGCCTACTGAACATTCTTTATTGTATGCATCTGCCTCTATTCTTCATACTACAGAGACTTACAGCAGCATTCCCTAACTAGGGTGTATGAATACCCGGAAAGGGCATGAGTCCAAAACTAAAAGTACTTTTGTTGAAATAAATCTTATCACATCTCACCAAGCCCTGGTCTCCAACGCACTGGGGATATAAACTCCACTCTCGTCCAAAACATAGTCGGGGTAGAGATTTCAAATTTTTAGCAAGACAACGATCCAGTAATGCCATACATTTTATTAACAAAGCTTAACATGAATTATTTTGCGAAGCACTGTGCACATTACAGTATAATTTGATCGGGCTCAGATAGCATCTAAAATATTTTAGGGTCCGTGAAGACCTGTGACATCCACAGGCGGTCACTGGGGGATTAAGTAAGAGAAAAACTTCTTTACAGAATACATCCACCTGGATTTATCTAAACCATTGACCTGTTCAAACATTTTCTTTTGCAGCTGCAGCTCCAGGTTCCTAGTCTCAGCCTCCTGCACAGCAGTGTCTGTCTCCTGGTCCCGCTGTAAGGCCTGCAGGAATGAAAGAAAAAGAAAGAAAAGAAAATTATCATTGACCCTCAGGGAAATTTAGGGTACAAAGACAGGCATAACAAATAAAAATAAAGCATAGCTATAAATCAAAACAGAAAGCAGGATGCTTCCACTCAGAGCCTGTCAGAGCAAACCTGGTCTGAATGAGATACAGCATCCCAGCATGGGTATCGAATTCACACTTTGTGCAAGACATGGCTTTCCATTTGGCCCTTTCAAAGATGTTTCAATTTTAAAAATAATGGCTGAATGTGTGATGCTATCTCCATTGATCTTTGAGCTTTCTGGTCCTGGTGACTCCCAACACAGAGCGTTGCATCCTGGGGGAACTTTAAAGTGGCAACAGTGATAACAGAACAATTTTTCCCCTTAAAAAAAGGTCTTCAGTAATAGTACGTATCCCCTACTGTCACCTTTCTCTGCAGCTCATCGTCCAAACGTCGTAGCTCAACCTCTCTCTGCTCCTTTTGGAACTGTAAGAACTTCCGGCGTCCAGCCTCCAGAAGGGTCAGCTCCTTCAGCTTGACTTCACGGTTCATGGCCAGCAACCTGATGTGACAGGACAGGTATTGGATAGTAACTTTTAACAGGCCAGTAGTGTATGGTAACTATGAATATATTCTTTCTACTCCTTTCTTTGTGCTTTTTTTTTCCGAATATAGGTGGTTAGCACCCCCATTGACATAATTTAGATAAAAATATAAGGGGATGCTTTGATCCTGCCTGTCAGAGCCAACCCGGCCTGAGAGGGATACAACATCCCCACAGACAGGTGGGGATACTCCATAAAAGAAAAACCTCCCCACGTGTGAATCGAACTCACATTTTCTGCTTGTGCCAGTCAAGTGTCAAACTGCAGTTGTGTTTGCAAAACACCTATCCTAAAATGTAATTAAAACAACCTCACAATACAACAAAGAAAAACAAAAACAGGCTTGCCAAGTTTTTCAAACCCCAATCAGGGACACCCATTGCAAAAACATCAGATTAGGCATTAAAATAACAAAATTACACTAAGTGAGACTGGGTTTTCGTTTTTCTTCTCAAATTCCAGATTGCTAAATCTAGGACAGTCCTGGGAAATTTGGGACAGTTGGCAAGCCTGGAATAACAAATCGGCGGCCTTGTGATAAAACCGGCTAACCCCAGCGACGTAAATTTTACAGGAGAAGGAAAAAACTGTTTTATTTCAAAACAAAGGCGTCTAACGATAAATCAATGCTTTAAACACCTATAAAAACACTTTACCGAAAATCTGTAGAACTTTTTTTCCTTTAAAAATTGCTTTTAATGAAACTATGTGGGTTAGACGGTTATGTCGCTCAAATTTTCCTGGATAAAACCGACCAACCCTCAATTTTGTGGGTTGACCGGTTTTATCAGGAAGCCACTGCTGGCCTTGAGTTTGGTTGAGTGCAGCCAAGCCACACTTGACGGTAACGTATTTGATCACTTGCTTCAATCGTCAAGATCTTTTGTAGAAGAAGAAGAAGAAGAAGAAGAAGAAGAAGAAGGAGGAGGAGGAGGAGGAGGAGGAGGAGGAGGAGGAGGAGGAGGAGGAGGAGAAAAAAGAAGGAGGAGGAGGAGTAAGAAGAAGAAGAAGGAAGAGGAGGAGGACTATATTATTGCTACCAACATACTATCAGCTGCTGCCATTTCAGTGCTACGGAGTCAATTCGGGCAAAAACAGCAGTCACAAAGTTTAACCTTTAATAGAAGTAGAAGAAGCAGAACACAGCAATGGGTATATTAATTACATTTAAAGTAGAAGAACAGGAGGTTGGAAGGGTAAGGGAGAACAGCTACAGCAACAACTACAAAAACAACAACTACAACAACAACAAAAACAACAGTAGCAGCAGCAGCAGCAGTAGGCCTTTAGAATTTATAACCGTGTCCGACACGGTACTATTGGCACTGGGTGGCCATTCAAAGGCCTGGAAAAAAGTAATACTAAGAAAGAAATGAAAGCAGAAAGCCACACAAAAGCTCTGCTACCTCGGCAATGGTTTGGGAGAAGTTGGTTACATAATGATATATCATTATTATACAAAAAAACTTTGTGAGTACCAAAGAATGCGCCAGCTTTCTCCAAGTGTGTGGCTTGACAACTACTACTTTATTGAGTTTTCTCGACGACAGAAAAGAGCATGTCTGTCTCACTCTGTGTCCTATGGCTACAACAAGGCAATACGACAAAAGTTACCATTGTTTTGAAAGACTCTATTATAATCGAATTTGGCTTGATCGCTTCCAAAACTTCTTACTGAGGCAAAGTTTCATGGTAATTGTGGTAGCATCGTGGTACGTCGGCCTTCAACTCAAGTAGATGTTTATACTGGTTGGCAGTTATCTTCAATCTGTCTTTGCAGAGAGGTCCAGCAGTAACCGTCGTACACTTGTGTTCAGCTTTCTTGGTCCCTGCAGCGCTTGCCATCCATCATCAAAGTTCAGCTTGTACTGAATTTTAAAGACTGGAGTGTACTTTGATGCCTGCAAGCCAGTGACAGTAGGATCGCCTGCTTTTCTCCCTGGACGGATTGTTTAGTGCTCTCCGACCTTTGCGAAATCTTTGAAAAAGCTGTGGTCCAGGAACATAACTTCGTAGGGCCTAGGGATGCGTCTGGCTTTGAGCATGATGTTCACGTAGTCCATTGGGATGTACATCAGTGCGTTTTTTAGCGATCGTTCAATAGTGCCATGGACTGAATCCACTTCCATTTGGGTATGGCCCTTGGGGAGAATTTCTGCTCAACTGTGATGTCAAGCTCTTTGGCCAGCGAGGCCATTGCACTCACCAGGGTGGCTTTCTGTTTTAGTAGTTGCGCCAAACACTGCAGATGATGAAGTGGTTGAAGTCAATCACTTGCAATATCAGTTAGTGAGTCAGACGTGATGAAAACTGTTGAAGCCCAGACCAACTTGACTTTCATACCAGACATATCATCTGGCGTCTCTGGTGGCAAGATCCTAAGTCGTAACATTGTGTACAGCCAGTTTTGTTTTATATAAGGTGGAAGTCTTTAGTGATGAGGCCAGAAGGACGCACTGGATCTCCATACAAAGGACACACACAGCCTCCCTGTCCTTCTCCTTCTCTGGTCTAGCGGCAGCTTTCCTCATATTCATATTTGAGCTGTGTCTTCTGTTTCTGTGAGGTTTCCAGATTTGAACTTTGTACAAATGTCGCACTGGTCTTTCTTGGTTGAAAGTAAACCCAAATTGTTTTTCTTGAACTTTTGGCAGAACACGCGATAGCACAATGTGGCTCTCTGCAAAGCTCTCCATGTATACTTGATGCAGATCTGACGCTTTCTGGATTGTCATCTGTAGACAGGAGGATATCTTCGAAAGTTTGTCAAAAAATTCCTCTTTATGGAACAACTTGTCATCCTTGGCTCTCTCATGGTGGGCGCGATGTGTTCTAGGTGGGTGGACCTCTTGGTTGTTGTTTTTTCGGAGAAGACACTTTAAATAAACCAGTGGGTCAGGCCTGTGGTGTTCTTGAAGATTGTTTTACAAACAGGTGTTCTTTGACCATTGACTCTTGTAAGTGGCTGTAATTTCTCCTTGGGTTTTCGCTTGCTGTGTAAGATCTCTTTTTGTCTATCATGCTTATCGTGTCATATACGTAGGCTCTCTTTTCTTTCCAAGAGAGTGATCAGTGATATCATTGCATTTTGTACCAACCAGTTTACAACTGCCAAGGACGTCAAGTTCACATCCTGCTCCCTTCATGCCTTGACATGGGTAGAGGCATCCCCAGTTCTTTCAACCTCTTCCTTTTGTTACCCTTCCAATCTTTTTCATGCCGTGTCCTTTTCGCAGAGATCAAAGGTAACATAACTATTGTACTATCAACTGATGTGACATTAGCCTGGTCATGTTGATCACTTTCCACTGCGCTGAGGGTAAGAGGTGACGCAGCAAGAGTAGCATCATCTTATTGAATGTTATAGCGTTATGTAAGCTAAGGTTTGATATAAAGATAAAGCCTTAGGTTATGACACTGAGAAAATAATCTACTCAAAACACAAACGAAATGAACTTTCAAAGAAAGTCGAACGATGTTTCAGAAGGTAATGACTGCAATAAACACAGCAAATGAAAAAAAAAAAAGAAAAAGCACTTTAAAAAACAACGATCGTTGGGGGCAGACGGTGTGCTGGAGAGGTCCCACAATTTTTTTTTTTTTGAGTGAGTTAGTAAAGGAGGAAATGCTATCTACTTCGTCCATTCAATTGTGAAGGAAAAATGATTAGGAGAAGAGACAGTAGTCCGTATAGGGGAAAATGCCTTCACAATCGGTGAATTTCGAGTACAAAGACAAAGAAAAACACGCGGACAGAAAACATAGTTTCATACAAAACAAAATCCATAAAGATGTGTTTCAAATACCGGAATTGTCACGAGATAAACAGTTCTGTGGGAACAGTGGGGAGTTTTAGTCATTAATAACGTTATCAGCAGCATTAAAACGAAGAAAAAAGAGGAAACAACCAGATCTATATAACTCCCCAGTGAAATCAACAAGAAATATTACACAAATATTCCTTTTTGGAGAGCTCCCACGGTTATGTGAGCAAATTCTGGACTATTACAGGTCTGAATCTGATGTCAAAATAAGTCCAGAGAGGAGTCGAAGCCGGGGTTAGTCGGTAACGTAGCAAGTGGCCCCTCATTGTTAGCGCGATAAAAACAGCCAACCCTCATTCCGTCCCTCGCAGGTGGGATAGTCGGAATTATCGGGCTAAAATCCGATGGGTGCCGGGTTTTACGGTTTTATTTCTAATGTTTTAAAGACATTTCTAGACAAAATTCAGATCTGTCTTTGAGTGAGCATATGAAATGGACAATTTACTATCGATAGGGCCAATAAAATGTTTTTTGATATTTTGTGGGTTAGACGGTTTTATCACCAGGCCGACGAAATGGCAAATTTGCATAGGCATACACGGCATCAGTGACTAGTGGATAGGCTATGTGGCCATCAAGACCCGATGTTATGTCCTTGAGAAAGGCATTTTACATGAATTTTCCTCATTTCAATCGGGTGAGAATGGATATCCAGTCATAGACAGCGAAAGATCTTGTAAGTTTATAATTGTTTGAGTGCTTAATCAGCTGTTTGCACTGTATGCTTCCCAGGAAGCTGATAATGTTTTTGAGTGTTCTCAGATCTGGGGTAATAATATAGGCTAAAGCACAAAGAGCTTGCTGCCGAGCAGGGATATGTACTATAAAAATGCTTTTTATTACTATCATTATTCTACAAGCTACTCAGATGCTCTACCTCTTTCTCTGCTCTGCCAACTTTTCTTCTTCCTCCTGAATCATCCTCCTCCTCCTCTCCTCCGCCTCCATGAGCAACTGCTGCTGGCGGTACCACTGCTCCTCCTCTTGCTGTTTCTGGATGGTTTCCTTCTGCACATCCAACGTCACACGCCTGGTGAAGAGAATTATGATTATGTTTAATGCTGGGTTACCCATCCATTAGAATACCATTTAGTAATCTTCAAAAACTAAATTATGTAATCGCGTTAAAAACCCGGATACTTTACAAGCTGTTTATCTACTTCTGAAGAGACAATGAAACACTAAACACACATCTAATATAGGCGAAACATCTCTGCAAAATTCGCCCAAAAAAAATATATCAGAACGACCTGATCTAAAAACTACTATCTATGGAAGGATAAGGTTAATCATATTTTAAAGGTACATTAAAGCACAGAAAAATACATGAACATGTCTTACAAAATACAGTTATTAAAAGCTCAGATCTAGTTATAGAACAGGTGAATGTAACAATGCCCCTTTTTCACAGTTTGCTTCATAATTTTACACGGAAAAATCAAGGTTAATACTCTCATGCACAGTAGGGTACATTCAAGTTATGTTTCATTGGCAATTTAATAATAATAATAATAAATGACATTTATATAGCGTTCAACTCCGATTAAAGTACACAGGCTCTGAGCGCAATTTAGGAGGAATCGAGTGAACAACTTTTCACAAAAAGACTGATCCAATTTCAAAGAGCCATGAAAACTCCCTGGAGAAAATCTAAAGTAGTTTTCACTTGGATCAAATTAAAGACCTCAACATTTGTCACAAATGTAATCCAAGCAAAAAAATATACATACTGTTAATGCATAAAATAAGGAACAGCATTACACGTTCATGGTGTGAAAAAAATAATTAAAAATCTTTCTCATCATATGACTTATAAAAAATATACAAATAACATTACACAATAATGAACATTTAGAGCGGCAAAAAATCAAAATAAACAAACAAAAATAATAAAGAGAAAGGGAAAAAAGTGATCAGAAGAAAGTAACAACAACAAAAAGATAAATGTTCTTACTTTTGTCTGAGGTAGTCAAGCTCTTCTTGTCGGATTCTCTCTCGTTCTTGAACCTGCATATGACGGACAAACATAAGCGGCCCAGTTAACTCAAAGCTTGTAAGCCACGCCCTCAGACACGACAGAAATATCACCACTGGCACTGATAACAACATTTTGCTCATTTTCTCAAATAAAATTTCTTTTTAAACACATTTATACACTTTGTACAAAGAATGTGTCACTCACTGAGAACAAAACCAGATATACACTTACATAAACAGTAGTGCATTCAAATACAAGTTAAAATTATTCTCAGACTGAGCTCTCAAATTGATTTTTTCCACTTGAAATTAATGGGAACATTTCTCATCAGCCCCAGGCCCCTAAAAATCACCTTCATTTTCCGAAACTCACACCACCAGCATTTCTGAAGACACTTTTTTTTCAGTATCTCAAAGAACAGAGAACCATCTTGAAGTACACAACCTTTGCTTGAACACTGTCAACCTGCTCACCTGATAGTCAACAATAAATTTGGGATACTTGTTGAAGACAGGGTAGTTGCCCCTGGTGAGGGGGATAAACTCATCCAGTTTGTTCTTCGGGTGAAGATCATCTGGTGTCGACTCCATGAGCCTGTATGTCTCCTTCAACACCTGACGTACGTTCATGGCGTTACGGTGATGGAAGAAAAACTGAAAAAGAAAATAACCTGTTGCACAGCATATCCGTTCAAGAAAGACAAAATGAAAAGATATAGAAAATCCTTTTCCTCAAAGAAATGTAAATGTAGTAACTTTTATCAAAAGAAACCATAATCACTCTCATGATAATTCTTTGTATATATCCTCTGCTTCGAGAGAGACACTGCCATACACCATTTTGAAAAGTAATGTATGATAGTCTTACACTGAGCAGTCAATGTGTCGATAAACATTAAGTGCCTGGTGTGTGTGTGTGCCTGTTACTCAAGAAAATGGGAGCAATATTAAGAAATGCTGTACACTTCGGAAACCCACATTGCAAGTGTTTTTGCCACCTGTACATTGCTACTGAAATGCGTTCACTGTCATCAAGCCAACAGGCCAAAAACTCTTCATTAATTCGTATTTGCATGGGTATAGAACCGTTTTCAACACTGCAGGATAAGAAAAGAGGTGAGATGACTGAATTTAACGTACTTTTTTTTGGGGGGAGGGGATTGTTTTGGTAACTGTTTTATGGCACTCCCAACTGCATAAGGTCATATGAGAGCACAGGACACATTAAGAATTTTCAGTTTAGTCAGAATTAATTTTGACTTTTGCCTGTATAGCAGCCGAAGCCTACACTTATCAATTTTAGGACTACCGAGGGATATTTAACGTGCAAAACTTTCATACAGGATCTCCAAGATTTTTTGCACTTATCTAAAAAGGCTAGGTGTTAGACCTCATCTACCCTAAGATCAGGGGCGTGGCTAAAAGACAGAAGTATGAAAAAAACAGGAGTAGCAGTAGAAAGAGTCAGAAGCTCAGAGGAGGCTGGAAGGGGGGAGGCAGAAAGTGAGGATGAAAGCAGATGACAGAACATGAATAGAGAGCAGGAAAGGGCAAAATTTTAGAGAAGACAATTTTCCGTCGCTGTCAGGTTTCGAACTCGGGACCTATTGAACGAGGGGCAAACACTACCTCTGCAGTATGAGAGCCCCCAATTTTTACACTGTCAAAGTAAGATGTAGGAGAACTCCCAACACAATCATAGTTCATTGGAAAAGGAAAAATTAAGTAAAAATAAACCACAGTCAGTCACACAACAGCCCAACACGATACCGAATATCTACCAGCCTGCCCAACCTAAGTCAACTCAAAGAGGAATATGCAAGAGTCACCTTGAAGTCCTCCAGCTCAGTACACTTCAGGAGCGGCCCTCGGGCAGAGATGGCATAGGCCACCACAGCTACCAGCAGGAAGGATGGGTGGTTGCTCAGCACATTATCCCACAGCATCAGCCACTCGTCCTGGGTCAACACCTCAGAGAAAACCGTCTCCAGGAGAGGCCATGCATATATCTGAACACAAAACATAGGGAAAATAACGTCCATTTTCTTTTCTTTTTTTTGGGGGGGGGGGAGGGTTCCTAACTTATCTAAAGACACTAGTAATTAATTTCCGAGATATAGATTTTGCCTGGGTTTATTTGTGTGAGAAGGGAGCATTCCATCAACAACAAAAAACATTTACAAGGTGCATAGGTGCGTTTTCTATCCATTGATTCATCGATAAAGTTCAGTGAAAATTTGGCATAGTATAGTGCTTATAGTCTTCTAGGGATGAGGTGCTATATAAAATCATATAATTACTATTATTATTATCATTAACATTATTACTATTATTATCACTGGACAATCACAAAAGACAGAGAAAATAAAATAGAAGCAACAGAAAAGTGGTTTCTTAGGAGACCGCTAAGAGTATCATGGAAGGAAAAGAAATCAAATGAGGTAGCGCTTGATGAAGCCCACGTGGGACGCTCAAGGTTAAAAACAATCAGGAAACGACAATCGCAGTTTTTGGGACACATAAATAGACATAAGGGTCTTGAACATCTAGCTCTCACTGGCAAAATTGAGGGCAAGCGAGGCAGGGGTAGGCCCAGAACAACATACTTGGGGAACCTAAACAAAATGGTAACAGGGAAAGATCAGGGAAACATAGCTTTTTGAGAGCATCCAAGCAAAGGAAAGAATGGAGAACCATGATCGCCGATGTCTGTCGCAGATCTGACACTGGATGATGATTATCACCATTGTCATTATTATCATTGTTATTATTATGATTATCATTATCATTAAAACCATTTGATTCCCTCACCTGTGAAGTGACCCCCTGTTGGACCAGGTGTTGCAACAGGTACCTGTCGTGGTAAGCCAGCATGTTCTCAATCATACCCAGGACGTTGATGGGTGGATTGGGGAAATACTCAAACCAGTGCTGACCCCAGTTCACTGCATGAAAAATATGTTGTAGTCATGACAAAGATGACAAAGACAGTCATTCAGGACAGCAGTAAGGATAAGAATAATAACAGTTACAAAATTAATCGTAATAATAATTATCATTACAGTTTTTTTAGCTCGAATAAAGCCAAGCACATTGGCACGTTAACAGCCATTTACTGCGGAAAATCATTAAATTAATAATAATTATTACAGTTTTTTAGTTAATCTTAGACACACTGACACAATAAACAGCCACTTAGTGCTGAGAAAAAGCAAAAAAGACAGAAAGAACAAGGGGCAAATAACAATAAGAAATAACAATAATAACAACAATAATAAATGACAGTGGGACAGAAGAAAAGAAGGTCAACAAATTATCAGTGTTACAAGACAATATTCACAATGATATTCATGCAACCTATGCAACATCAAAGTAGCCCCAAACTAGATCAACCAATGAGTCTGGAATTCTTGTCACTATGAACAGAGATATGGAAGGCAGTCTCTTGGTTTTTCATGCTGATGTCCAAAGAAGCTTCTTCTCAAGTTCAAAATGAAACTGTCCGGCTTTAATAAACATGGTAAATTATGACCCCTATTGAAAGCAGAGCCCATGTTATTTTCACATGTTCACAATTATTCGTTCAATTATTTTGACATAGTCAAGTCCGTAATAAAAAATAAAGACGAGAAATATGGTGTGACGTAATGCCAACTTATTTGATTTAAAGATAATACCAAGGCTTCTGCAAGGCTCTCATCCACAAAGCTGTCTAAACCTCCTCAACCCTGGCAGACAAATCAACTATAAGTCACTGATGGAGACCTTAAGATGGACCTTACTGAGGTATGCAGAGTGATGGATAGAATCTGTTACTGAAAACTCCAGTTCAGGAATCAAGTAATCAAGTGTGATGGATAGGATCCGTAACTGAAAACTCCAGTTCAAAAATCGAGTAATCAAGAGTGATGGATAGAATCCACAACTGAAAACTAAAGTTCAGGAATCAAGTAATCAAGTACAGTCTAAGCTATCAAACCAAGAGAAGGAAGATGTGGACTAGGGGGATTTGCAGCACCCACCTAGCACCGTCGTAATCAGCTCAAAGCACACAAGGTGGTTGTTCTGAAACAGCTTCACAAAGGGGAAGGCAAATGATGGCAGATACTGGGTCTCTCCAAATATGGGTGACCAGTGAGCCATTGCAGACAGGATCCTGTAGAGCAGATTGAAAGTGATATACTTAAAGTAAGTGGCTCTGAGAAAAAAAAACATTAGCAGATACAGAAGACAGATCGTTTTGAAGGGTCTTCGTCAGGAGACCCAAAACTTCATCTCAATCTCTAACAAAGTTTTTTGTGAAAAACCATTTTGAAACCTTACTTAAAAAGAATTTTGCATGAATACTATTCTAAATTATCTTTTTTACTAATTATTTTGAGGACAAAGGTTAAATTTTGTTCTGTTAAATGTACTAGTGAATTTGTACTTGTTATTTGATCAGCACTCAAATCATGCAGGATTTTTCTTTTTTATCCTTTCTTCAATTCCTTTCTATATATCACCAAAAGATGAAGTCATTCAGAAGTTGTACAATAGTTACCTCTGTAAAACTCGAAGGAGTTTCCGACTTTTAATTGGATAAATTTCATGAAGCTTGGAATACGCAGGATGAGCCCCCTTGTCCACCAATGCCGCATAGGCTGTGAAGTTTTCAGGTAACTCCAGGATCTTTCTCCAAATAAACATTCTGCAGAGAAAGTTTTGAATAAAGAGAAGTGCATCAACACAATAACGCCTATTTAGGTGCACGGAAAAGCAAGAAAGATAGGTACGGCAAAAGAAAAGAAGTAGGACCTACCTACAAGTAGCAGCTTCCAATCATTCAATCATTCACAGTGAAAAATAAATCCTGTTTTGATTCAAAGTTATCACTAGTAATTGTACATGACAATTGACCCCCCCCCCCCCCCCCCAAATCTCCCTAATTTACATCATTCTTGAGTCTGGCTGCGTGCGGCATGCGTGACGCTGCCTGTCAGGGCCAGTTTCTACTGCAGGCAATACATCATAGCAAAAAGGTGGATAAATATTTTCAAAAAAGCATCTCTGTAACGAGAATCAAATTCAATGATTTATTAATAGCAATATACATGAAAGACAACCTGACATAGGCTAACATGTTAAAGTTATACATACTTGTGCTCAAAATTCGAGTTAATTAAGTTTCAGATGTTCTTGGCTATGGAAGATGTTTTCATGAGATCCAATCTAATATTCTATGTATGCACCCCTCCAGTTTAAAAAAAATCTAGAGACCTGTTTCATATAAAACAAAATCTTTTACTAAGGTATATCCTTGATAATGTATGAATGGAAAAAAAAATAACGTCAAAGCCTTTGCACCTTAAAACTTAAAGATACAAAACAAAAGAAAACCAGAAAAAAAGCATTCACACAAACTGATTCAGAAATAGCAGATCACATACAGAAGTCAAGAATAATGATTTTGAAAAAAACAAAATAGATACATTGAGTACTCACCTATACTTAGCTGGGTATTCACCATAACCTTTGAGGATTGACATCAGCTTTTCTTTGTTCAAACCACCAAGCTCTGAATTCTGAAAAAGAAAACCAATTGACAGGAAACTTTAATTCACTTGAGCCTGAGCTATTTTTCACCCAACAACCACTGCAGCCCAACAGTTTATGGAGGTATATTAAATCGTTAACCACAAAAAGATCGTGAAAGCTATCATAATTTTTTTAAGGCAACAAGCGGAGGAAAGAAATGCTCTCGCAGAAAAAGAAAACTGCATCTGATTTGTCCAAATAGTTTTTATTTTAGCAATATTTTGAAATGGCAATGTCTAGGGGTTACGCATTTTCCCCCCGCCAAATGTGGAATAAAAATTATCTATCGTAATACAGGGGTGACTTAGTTCATGACAGCTAAAAAAGTATCGCTCATAACTTCATCAAATTTTTAATGAAACGAAACAAGTGGGTCATAGCTTGTAACAGAAAAAAACCCAGGCGATAACGATCTATAAAGCGCATCCCGTAAATACACGGGATTCGCCCACCGGGCTTCCCATAAATACACGAGAATAGGCTCAAGTATTTTAAAAAGTCAGTCAGTTTCAATTTGCTTAAATAAAACAAAGCGTTACAATTTTTTTTCAGAGACACATGAAAATATTATCCCTTACTGCTTAAAAATAAAAATATTTGGTTACAAAATGGACTGTAACCAGTAAGTTTATCCCTTTGCGGTCACACGGCCAGCAGTACAAAATACCCTATCTGGTCACCCAGCCAGAGGAGTGACTGCAATGGACTTCTCAGCCTGGCGCACTGGCGCAGAACAGTGCCAGGTGACTAGAACAGACAATTTTCACCTGCGCATTATTGTGGCACACGACCGCAAAGTGTTATACAGCTATGAATTAGTATTTTCCTTGTGATCACACTGATCATAAATCAACAATTCAAAGTTTCGAACAATTTTCTGTTCTTAAATTAAAGGCATTCTGTCACGAAATCATTCCATATGTAAAACTTCACCTACCTCTTTATCTCCCTCCAAATCACTCATGTCCTCTGAGGCGTTCTTAGACGAGCGTTTCGCATCAAAGTTTTTAGAGGATGTCTGTGTCAGTTTGGCGCGCCGCATGCTACTCTCTGTGCTAAGGGTGTCTGAAAGCGTGTTGCCCGTGACAACTTTCATCAGTGGAGGAGGCGGCTGAGGAGGACAACAAAGGATAAAGGAGTAGGGGAGGGGAGGGGAGGTTATTATTTATAAATGAACTTTCTTTGCCAAGCACATGGCCTAGTAATGAAAGTAAAGAAAGAAGAGAGGATAAAAGAAACAAAGAAACAAAAAACAAGCAAACAAACAAACAAACAAGGAATGAAAAAATAACGAAATATGTCAACTTGAAAAAAGACGGCTGGAACGCAACAATATGCAAGAAAATAACAAAGCTGGTACCAAATAAGTACATATCCATAAAAACTAGGAGGAGGAGGAGGAGAAGGAGGAGGAGGAAGGAGGAGGAGAAGGAGGAGGAGGACGACGAAGGAGAAGGAAAAGGAGGAGGAGGAGGAGGAGGAAGGAGAAGGAGAAAAACAGCAACAACAACAGCAACAACAACAACAACAACAACAACAACAACAACAACAAAAATAACAAGTGTTAATGATAATGTACAACATTAAATAAAAAATAATAATATTGTGTCCAGCCACCTTGTTGTAGTCAGCTGACAGAGCTTGTACACTGTACACATGCATATTCCCGTCCTCCATCAGAGCAATGATATAACGTCCTCCAGGACCAACAGCGACAGATCTGATTCGTCTGTCTACAGTACCAATGTCAAAGAGCAGCCGACACGAGTCCGTATTGATGAACCTCATGATTCCATCCTGAGACAGCACTCCGATAATCTGGTGGGGAGGGGAGAGGAAGAAGCACAATGCAGATCTTATCAATAAAGAGCATTCACAAAACAGTTGCTTCTGAACCCAAAAATGACATAAGAAATATAACAAAGAACGTTTCAGGCACACAGTTCACAAAGCTTCTTCAACAGACATATGCTAAACGACTGTGACCACAGAAATTACAATGCGGAGCACATATCTTTCTCCACAAAAAGCAAGACATCTGGGGCCTTGAAATGGGCAAATGTTTAACAGTAAAGTCAATTTTTAAAAATAAAAATAACATTTGATTTAATATGCGTTCTTTTCTAGGAAAAAAGGGAATGAAAAAGAAGGCATTCATTTCCAACAAGATGATTTTAGAACTCATTTTCGATCAATCTGTGATCACTACATTAGGAACCACATCTAGAAATGGAATCGGCTATGTTTGATGCTTAGAGCTTCAGGCAAGTGGTAGTAAACGTGTAAATACACTCTGTTCATTGGGACTGCTTTGGTAAAAATACTGTCCTTATACAATCATACCTAAAAAAAAAGGGAAGAAGAAAATAATACTGCATATATGTATGTAAACATATCCCCATAAACGGACAGATGAATAATAGAAGAACAGAGGGGAAAATGGACTGACAGGAGGGACAAGACTGATGGATGGAAGGACAGAGGGACTGATAACAGACAGATGAAAGGACAGACAGACTATGATAGATGGACAGACAATTGTATGGAAGGACAGAGGGACATTTAGATGGATAGTTGAAAAGGATAGACAGAAAGAAGCCCCCCCCCCCCCAAAACACACACACATAAACGTATACACAGACACACAGAAACAAATAAAACTATACATACGAAATACAAAATTAATACAGCATAATGGCATAAATTTTTAAAAATCAGGAAACAGAACCATACCTGATCTGCCCCACTCTGAAACTTGTCTTGCAGGAAATGCAATTGTCTGATGGCCACAACTTTGCTTGGCATCTCAATTACACGGATCAGACGTCGGGTATCGAGCGACCACAAGTGGAGAAATCGTGACCTTCCACCTGCCACAAGATAGCGTCCATCTCTGCCGTGACAAAATTGTGCAAAGTTGATTTTTTATACTTATATTAACTTGGGCAGGTCGGGGAATATATGAAGGGCTTTGAGACAAACAGCTTTCTATTCAAAGAGGTCACATTTCAAAATCTAAACACCATGTATTCTTGCTTTTCCAGTGCCAGCACTAGGTATTCTTCTACTGAAATCTAAAAATAACATTGAAAAGCACTGACACGAAACAAAGTACGAGCACGATGCATTGTTCAACAGAATTCTAGAAACAATTTTGAAACGCACAAAATCGAAACAAATAAAAAAACCTGCGTCTAACCACTCACCTTGAAGCAGCAAATGCTCGGTACTGTGGAGGCTTCCCCGGAGGCACAGGCAGCTGGTACTTGCAGGTCATAGAGGTCAAGTCCCAGGCGAAAACAGTGTCATCGCGGAAACATGTCATAATAGTATCACTGTTGGGCAGGAAAAATGCCTGTGGACATACAAATATAAGAAATTCATTGCGTAAAAGAATTTCACACTCACTGGTTAGAGTTTTAAAATTCTGTATTACTGAGGTTGTATGTTACATCAGATGTTAACATCATTCAGTATTGTACAACACTGGGTAAACTTCAGAAAAATATGTTCAATAAAACCTTATTTGTTTTTGGATGTTCTAACTCTAAGAAGAAAATGTTATATGTTCTGGACCATAAAAACATACATACGGAAAGAAAAACTACAAATCTAAATCACATACTGGCATACAAGGATTATTGACCTCAATCCTTTCACTGGGTAATTGAAGCAAAGACTGTTGGGCTTGTTTGGGATATTTTTTAGCATCCTTTTGTTTTGCACCTGGTAAAGTCTGAAGAAAAAAAAAAGAAGTACCTTTTTCTTCACTTGCAAAGTTTTGAAAGCAAAAGCATCTGTTTCGCAAATAGTAAAAGTTTTTCAAACCAGCTTAAAGCCCATCTACCTGCAGAAGACCGACATCCTCCTTGATGTTGAGCTTGTGTTTTTTCTGGAAGGTGTCCAGGTCCCAGAGATGTGTGGTCTCAGCTGAGGTGGTCACGGCGTACCGTCCATTCATGTGGACAGAGATACTGTGAATGGCTGACTCGTGGCCCTTCATCCACGCCACTAGCTCTTGTTTGTCTGTGGATACAAACAGTGGTCGTTAGTGATCTTGTTGTTGCTGTAGATGTTGAGGGTAGTGTTGGGCGGTACAGGGGAAACCCAGTGTCGACACTTTCTCGGTACTGGGTGCCGAGAACCGCCAGTACCGGCACCAGCAACGGTACTGGGAGTGACACCAGTAGGTGACGTCACAGACTTCGCGTCTTCCTCTCACCCCATCACACCACGATCAGCGCCGCCCGCATCCCCCCCCCCCCCCACACATCAGAGTTCGAGAGGCGAACTGTGAAAAAGAATACCTTTGAAGTTTGCCGCCGCGTGGGATAAGACTCTGCATGCAGAATTTTTAAAATAATTATTACCACTAAAAATTTATTTCATTTTCGGAATCAGCGTATCAAAATAAACAAGGTGGCTCGTGTGGAACCTGATTTGATGCCATATTTAAATTTAAGCAAATGTTTCGTTTTTGATTGTCAGTTTTGAATCTGAAGTCATGCATCAAGGTCACCAGCTGCGTTGTGTGCATCTGACGGCACAGCTGCTAGGCCAAGGCCTAGGCCTACACACAGCACACTTCCCGTGGCCCGGTTAAAAAATCATTGGTGTCGGCCAAGGCTATACGTTTCTTACTCTCTAGAGAAGGTGTTGGCTCCTTCCCAGAGCCAGTACTCGTGGCCAGGGGCCGGGACTGACACCTCCTTCGGTAAAACCGGGAGTTCCGATACTGGGTACCGGTACCTGTCCATCCCTAGTTGAGGGTGTCTTGTACATGTCAAAGTTGTTGACATTGGTGTTGTTGTTACTATTGATGATGATGTTGCTATTGTTGATATTATTGAAACTGTATGTTGGCTTTGTTGATGACATTGTTGTTGTTGTTTTGTTGTTGCTGGTGCTGTTATTGTTAAAACCAACAGCTACTTTCTCATTGCCAGTGGCAAATGCCATGTCATAGAAGGTGAATTTTTTGTTTAAGCTTGTGATGTCCAAGCAGGGAAAGGAGGCTGAAAGCATGTCTAGCATTGTAATAGAATTACAAGCTACAACAACAATGTGAACTCAAAGAAAATTTAACTTAAGAGAACAAGAAAGAGGAAATGAGCAATCTAGGTGAGGGTTTGGCATTTTTAAAGAAGTTCCCTTTTGAGACCAAATGCATGAAAGAGAAAGAAGATAATGTCAAAGGCAACACTTCAAAAGACCACGATTTAGCAATAGTAGATCAAAATATTATAGTAACAGTCGTAGTTGATGCAGCTGTTAATAAGCTTAGGTTTGACCAACTTGAGGATTTCCAGAAGAAACTGTTCAGAAGTCCGCCAAAGCTGACCTCAGAGTTTACAAATAAAAGAAAGGTCGTGTTTGTATGGAAAGCAAGCCAAGAGACCAGTACTTTTAACATTTCTTACCCGTGTCGAAACATTTCAGCGAGTAGTCACCGAGCCCAACCAAAAACTCTGACTTGTGGTGAAGAGTGAAGGCGAATGCTGTGCTTGGCTGGCCAGCCTTCTGAACAAGATTAAACCTGAAACAAACAACAAGTAGGTTGATTGGAAAAAAACATTAAATGAACTCCAATACAAGACATCTTCTATTTCTGTGGCATTGTCGTAAACTCAGGCGCTCGTCAAATTAATTTAATTTTAAAAATCGTCATTCTTTCTATAATTTTGCAATTTTTACCAAATTTTGATTTTGGCTCAACACCTTTTCCATTTAAAAACACATTTCTGTGTTGATGTTACAAACACAAACCTTGGCCTTGATCAAAGGAACCCAAAAATGTACATTTTAATTTGAAATTTCCAAGGACAATCAGGACTTTGGCAACCATTTTCTTGTTAATGTTACCCCTGACCCTCCCCACCCCCCCCACTCCCACCCCCCTTTCGGAATTAACTCTCATCATGTCTTATGCACAAAACAGTAAAGAGCCTGGTTATTACTACACCCCAATAGAAAGGTAATTTTTTTCTAACCTGTTCCTTGAGAGATCAAAGTGGTAGATGTGACCCTGGTGATCTCCAGCAAGAAAACAGTCTCCTGTGACGTTAAAACTGGCATGTAGGAACCGTACATTTCGACAGGGTCCAGAAAAAGGTCCAGCGACGCTGTGCGTCACTTTAATCATCAATCTGTCAAAGAATTGTACAAATGATACATTTTAAAAAAGTTAGATTTTTAAAACATAAAAGAACACAAGCTTTGTTGAAATAAAAATGGAGCACTTCATATTATTCACAGCACAAAAGAAAGACTTGAAAATAAAGTCACAGTGCTATATTATATTTTACAAGACCACAGATTGGAAAAAAATCTGACAGGCTGCTGCACACTATTCTAACTTCATTTATATCATAACCAGGTAACTTTAACACTTTGCAGGCACACAGCCAGCAGAACAAAATACCCCATCTGGTCACTCAGCCAGGAGAGTGACAGCAGGAACGGAAAATTTTCACTGTCACGTTATTGCGTCAAGAGACTGCAAAATAAGCTTGATCACCCCCAACACAGCGACACAGCCTTGGGTATTTTATACCTCTGTCTCGCTCAAACAACAATCGTTTTTTGCAAATTGCCATCATGTCATGATTTTCAGCATCAGCCATCCTTTAGATCTATGCATGTAGGCCTACTCATTTTATTCACATTTATCAGATTCAAGTAATAGTACTTTTAAAAAGGCAGGGGTTCGGGTAGGAATAGAATAAGGATCACCCCCCCCCAAAAAAAAAAAAAACTACCCTAATTTACCTTATTACCCAAATTCAGCAAAGTGTAAATGAATAAATAATAACATTAAATGTATGTAGGCGAAAGACTGCTTTCTCAGACTAGACTGAAACACCAAGTACAGTGGTACCTCTGCTGACGTGTTCAATGAAAATAGATCTAAATTTTAATTACTACTAGAGCTCTAATTCTAATTACAATCTAACTTGGCCTAGCAGGCTACAACATAAAAATTTCTGACCTTCTCTTCTATGATGTGCGGAAAAAGCACACATAATAAATGCAATAGGGGGAGTCAAAGTAAGCTAATGGACATTAGTCTTGGTCTCGAGTAGCCCTAACTGATCGTCAACCTCCTCTTCGTCCTGGCTTCCAAAGCTTCGTTACAATTACATCTGTTCTCATTCATGACATAATAAAAGAATTAAAATTAGAACTAAGAGATTATTACATTACAGTGGAACTCAGATTCAATGAGAACTTGGACTCAACGAAAGGAGATGGATACCTCATTTTTTTTCTTCTTTAAAATCAATAAATAACTCGGATTCAACGAACACTTAAATCAGTAACCTCAAATTCAACAAGGTTGCTTCCAAGGTGAACAGCCCCCGCGACGTGACTACGCTCATTTTTCTTCCACAACAAACTTTATTCCTGTAAACCATCAATTGCACTTGCATCATGAACCATAATCCATATCGGCTTAGAAAGCCAATTGCATGCGACCAATCAGCGGATTTCTTTCATACCAACACATGTGTTGTTGGCACTCGCACAAATCTACTCTAGAATGTGTCAGGGTCATATCGGGGGGGGGGCTGCACACGTGACTGTGTGTGCGTGTCGGGGGGGGGCACCAGCAGTCCAGGTGTGGAATGTCGCTGATACAAAAATGCGTCAGTCAGTCTTTTTTTCCCCCCCGGCAACTGATCATTATAACAACAATTAGCTAGTCTTGACGTAGATCTACATAAAATGAATTGGGCTCTCTCTCTCTCTCCTCATTTCATACCCCTACTTTCGCCATCCCCAACCCCTCCCCCACTCACACACACCACTGTAAAAATATATAATATGAAAGATCTAAAATATGGTAGTGTCCAGAAACAATATTATGAATAATGTATGATGGAAGTAACTGAGATTAATAGAAACTGACTTGATCTGCACAGAAAAAGAAACTTTATATGCTAGAAAACAAACAGAAAGTGAGAAGCAATAAACTGCTGGTCCTGCCTCCAGTACCTTAAAACCAAAGACTCTTACTTTCTATACCCCCACACAAAATATTGACATGCACTTGACCCGTAAATATACGTACTAAAAACTTTCCTGTACGCTAACAAAAAGTCAATTGATACTGTACCAGTGACGCTGTCTCATGCAGATCAAGTCTACAATCAGATACTATATTATAAAGCTGGACAAAGTTAGCACACAACAGTTTCCAATCATATTATTTATATATAATCAAACGTTCTTCATCGCACTTCTCAGTTCTCAGAACACTGGTAACAAAGTGGGGAAGTGTGTCAAATACTAATTATAGAACTTGGAGTCTAGCTGGGGTGACAGTGGAAAAGGGGAGGGAAGGGATGGGGTAGACCTATTGTTTTCGGACCAGACTCAGACAGCCGAGTGCCTGTCGCTCCTCGTTATAATTCTCCTTATATGATCTTTTACTAGACGATTCCTCTTTTCGACAGCAAGACTCATATGGGCCAGGAAAGTCATACATGATGTATTGCTGATAAAATAATACATGTGTCTGTGCTGCTCAAGACCCTCTCATTCTTAATTTTGTAAGCAGCACAGAGGCCAATTTGGCAATAAAAGGGATGCTCTATTAGCTCTGAGGGCAGTCGATGGATTTGCGAAGCAGACTGACGTCATCGCTGAGCCCGCCGTGTTCGGTTTGTCCTCTACGAAGTTCCGCGATGTGACGAGAGACGATTTAAAGTTACGAGCCGGCGCGATTATATATTATAAACAAATGTGAAGGAATCGGAATGAGGCTCTGTCGCGACAAAACAGCAGTGAATCCCACTTGTCTATGGGAGCACCTTCAAATCGGTAAGATGCTTTTTAAATGTTGATATATGTTTGTTTGGATTTACTTAAAACTGAATGAAAATCATCATCAGCAATAAATCTCTTGTCAACAGTCCAGCTGACAAAAATTTGACTGGCACTAGTGGCACCGCCGGTCTTGCCCAGTTAACAAATCGCCCCGGTCCACAGATCTATTCAAGTTTAAAATACATTCACTGTCCGTAAGGCACCAATTTTTGGTTTCGTCTCAAATACAAATACTTAAGTTTTAAGGTGTATTATAAACTAAAAATGTTTTTTTACAATTCAGTAGGCCTATTTTTTGCTGTTTGCCAGTCTAGCCATCATTAAGTAGCTTACGTCTAGCCCAGCTGTCTAGCCGTCATTAAGTATGGCTAGCCTCTTCCTTTTTGACCCTAGAGATCAGGGCTGAGGTTGGCGGGCAAGACGTGGGGGGGGGGGGGGAGGGCTGATGCTCCACAGCATCATGTTCGTTACTGTTCATGTCCGAATAGTCACAGTCAGGGTTGTCAGTTTGGAGCCAAATCCCAGAAATTTGGCTCTTTTGGATCGTGTCTGGCCCAGAGAATTTCATTTGGCTCTCTAGCTCTTTTTCGGCTCCAAACTCCAAATGTTCAAGAAGAAAGGGAAAGAAGAGGCAAGAAAAAAAGAAAAAGAAAGAATAATTTAAAAGAAAAAAAATGAAAGTGAAGAAAAGGGCTTGGATTGCTTAATTATTAAACTAGTTTTATTAACACGCTTTTAACGCCCTCGCCCATTTGGTCTGAATAATTTACAACCCTTCTACTGTCGTGCAAGAGGATTTACTGCCTCGTGCTTGCGCCTCGTTACGTTTGCACACGCTCTCTGTTCATTGAACCATAATGATTTATTGTGTGCAGGCAGAGGGTGAGAGGCCTGCCATCGGTGTGTAAACAACGAATAGTCCGGCTGGCAGCCGGTCCCAAATCCCGCTCAGTAGTGTCGGTAGGTAGTGAGCCTTTTTTTTAGAAGAGAGGCGAAACATCTTTTTACAGTACTGAGCTTTTGCCAAAAGGTGGGGGTGTTTGCTTAAGGACTTTTTAAATCAACCACTACTCATGGTAAAATATGTTTTCTTCTGAAAACTTTATGCATATGGCAAGGAAATAAGTTGGTCAAGCTGCATGAGCAAGTAGATTGATGTGTGCATCTTATATCTCTACATAGAAAGATAATAGTACTAAAAATAGGGCATTTTTTACTCATCCTGAGTGCACACGTAATTGTATGTTAAATACAGAATATTGTTAATCTTAAACTATCAAACAGAAGTGCATTCAAACATTGAAAATAGTTTGTATACACCATCATAACAGCGCGTGTCCGTTAAAAGGGTTTTATTTTTTTATATTAATGATGTTATTGCTGAGTAAAATTTATAAGTTCGTTCATAACTCGTGTCATAATTACATCATCAGACTTTCCAAGGTCTAGAAAACCCAAATCATTAAACATATCATCCCGGGGAATGACCGGTATTAAACATTGGTTTGACATTGATCTATCAGAAGGGTAATTTTCCGCTCCATCGCAGGGTTTTGCTTAAATATGACTTTGATTGAGATAATCCAGGTTTGTCATAATGATGTTATGAACAAACACTTTATGATATTTCTGCAAAATATCATGTGAGGGACTTCCCACTGTTTCACAACATCCTTTTACATGGTGGGATGAACATGGAAGAGTATCGTGCTGATGACTCAAAAGAGAAGCGAAGAAGAGGCAAAAATATGCTTGTCATAATGGATTGTCATCATGTTATGAACGTGACAGTGTGTCATAATGGTTATGAACGAAACCTTATTCCATGTAATTTACAGTTGTTTTGGGATGTATTTTTAATTTTAACCCAACTTGAGGATGTATTAGACCTTGCTTACATTCTGATATTTTGATTTTTATCATAAGTGTATGGGTCTGGATTTTAATTAGTATTTTACTTTTGTAGTAATGGTTATGAACGAACTTCATATTGTACTCTGCGGGCTTTCCAGAGTTGATAAACATTAAAAACATGAACACAGATACATATTATGAGGAAACTTTCATTTAATATGAAATTTTAAAGTAAATGACAGGTCAAAATATTAATTTTTAGGTCAAAACTGAAGTTTGTCATAATAGTTATGAACGAACAATTAAAGGTATTCTAAGGGTTTTTCAGTGATTAAACTTTGAATTCTTCCAACATATAACCTTATTTTGAGGAGAATCTCATAAATTAAAACTATTTTATGTGAATGACAGAATAATAAGTTAATTTTTTGGGCCCAAAGCAAAATTTGTCATAATAGTTATGAACGAAATAGTGTGTCATAACGGTTATGAACGAAACCTTATTCCATGTAATTTACAGTTGTTTTTGGATGTATTTTTAATTTTAACCCAACTAAAGGACAGAATAGACCTTGCATACATTCTGATATTTTGATTTTTATCATAAGTGTAAGAGTGTGGATTTTAATTAGTATTATACTTTTGTAGTAATGGTTATGAACGAACTATTTATAGTCCATTTTATATATTTTGAGGGCTTTTCAGTGTTAACAAACTTTAGAAACATGTACAGAGATACATATTATGAGGAGAGTTTCATTTAATAAAAGTTTTTTAAAATGAATGACAGATCAAAATGAGTAAATTTTTAGGTCAAAATTGAAGTTTGTCATAATTGTTATGAACGAACCATTTTAAAGGTATTCTAAGGGTTTTTCAGGAAATAAACTTTGAATTCTCCCTGCAGAGGAATCTATCATATTTTAAGGAAAGCCTCATAAATGAAAACCGTTTTATGTGAAAGACAGAACAATATAAATAAATTTTAGGGGCCAAAAGTAAAATTTGTCATAATAGTTATGAACGAAACAGTGTGTCATAATGGTTATGAACGAACTTTAAATTTATGCATAATATGCCCTAAGACCAGTTTGCGTTTAAAAATAGCTGTTCAATGGTCTTTCATTTATCACTTGACTATAATTTAGACCAGAGTGTTATTTTAGACAATTCTAGTCGATGAAACTTGATATAATTGATAGTATTTTGGTCACTTATTGTTCGTTCATAACTATTATGACACAAAAAAGTAATTTTATCAAAAATTAATAAAGATTTTTATAAATTGTCAATTCTATGTAATTTTGGAAGTTATTTGCTATGTCTCAAAATATAACATCAGCCTAGCTGAAGAAAGCAACTTTGAGTATTCATAAATTTGTGTCATCATTGTTATGAACGAACTTTTTACTATTTCCGTCATTAAAGTCAGAATTACACCAAGACCATTGCATATACAGCTTTGGCAGTTACTGAGCCTGAAAGAGCAATCATTAGGCTATATAATATGGGTGATTAAAGAATTATTACATAAAGTTGATTTTGGACCTCATTTGTCACACCCAGGTATCCCACCTTTTGGCAAATGCTCTACTATTATTCGTTCCCAAACACAGGTGGTAAGCCACCAAGGGCCAAGGAGATTTTATCAGCCTGCGAGAAGTCAGGGGGGAGTCCTCGCCTCATGGCTCATGCCCACACTGGGGGTGAGAATAACGAGACATGAGTTATTCTCGGAATAGCAAGACATGGGTTATTCTCACATGGAGTGAGAATAAAGGCAGCCTAACCAAAAAAATCTTGAGAACGGAAACCAGTCGAGTTCGGAGAAATAGAGATCAATCGGCGCTTTTTCAGTAGTTCCCACCCCGCAATTGTTATTCACGGGTTTTGGCCCCAAGAGTAGGGGGGGTTTCAGGGGGGCTTGCCCTCCTGACCTAACAAAAATAGGAAGGGGGGTTTCAGGGGGGCAGGCCCCCATGAATTTTACCACAATTTAATGTTTTACTGTTGTTAGGTTTGATATCTTAGCTCACCGCGAATCAAACGTATAGATCTAGATCTAGAAGTAGGTCAGGCTCAAATAAGGGGGGTGGGAACTACCGAAAAAGCACCGATCAATCAAGTAGTTTATAAATATATTCCCGAGCGTTCCGAGAAATAGAGTCACTTCGTTTGGTTTTCTTTGCACAGCCTATGCAGGTGTTTCAGGCACCACTTGTTACTTCTCTTACATCACTTGCTCAGTGCCTGTAATTATCTAGACAAAACCTCATGTTTTCTATAACAAACGACACTAGGGCTAGGCCTAGGACCGTCAGGTCCGGCGACCTGGTTGAATCCGAGTTCCACTGTTATTCAAATTCTCGAACTTCATTACAATTAAAAAGGAAGAAATTGTGAAATGAGAGTAGATCTACCCTTCATCTTTCGAAGGGCACGGTTTACGGTGCCATATTTTCCCAATTTCCTTCTGAGAGACATCCAATTCCATGATTCTGGGCAGGAAAAGTAGCAGAACCCCTCTAATAGTACTTGGGGTACAGCAGTAACATGGTAAGAGCAAGTTCAGACATAGCGGGGATTTGTTTTGCTGGTAATTTTAAAAACTGGAACATATTCACGCGCGGTGCCAAAACAATTAAACTAATAATTCTTGTTTTACATTTCTGTAAAAAAAAAAAATCTAAAAATACCGATGAGAGTAATAAAGAAGAAAAAAATTATGTAAATAATGTTCGATAGAATAAATGTCCACTTTCTTGCATTATGCCTCATCACCGGGTCTTTCATTTACCTTCACCTCATCAAATTATGATGCTGACGAGATCTTTGGCCCAATATTTGGCAATGCTTTATCATTATCATCGATTGACCCGGAACTCGACGCTGAAGTTAAAAGCCACATTTCATGCGTCCGCAAAGTCCGCAATTTGATTTTTGTGTAAACATTGATGATGCAAGCAAAAGCGGGATGAGAATTCGTTTCTAAATATCTTTTAAAATTGAGTCGGAACGAACATGTTTGATAATTAGATCTAGCTTTGGTTACAATGAAACATTTCGCCGATAGGAGTGAACCGTATTTTTGTATAGACTATATAGAGTGGTACCATAATAGCATTGTTCTCAAAATTTGGTCCACTTCCGACGTAAATGCCAGCTGAATAAGATTGTTACCTTGGATTCAAAATGGCGGCCCGATTAGGTGAAGTACTGCTATTCTTTTTTAAAACCTTTTTAATGGGTAGGCTTACACATAACCTATGCTTTGTATGATCCAGCAGTACGTAAAGAAAACTTTGATTGGTCTTGTTATCTGCCGAATAATATTACTTTTTAACGTCTCTGGACTATTGTTACAGTTACGACATTGTTGCCGCTCGAAGTCGAAGACTAACTTAGACTAAGTTGAAAGTGAAGTCAGAGTCTAGGCCACAACCAGGTTTCTTAAGTTTTTAGTTTAGTAGAGTGTTTACGGCGCTTGCAACTGCTTAAAAGGTAATATGATGAGCGCCAAGAGCTGGATATCAACAGAGAAGTCCTTGCAAGGAGTCGTGCCAGCTTACATACAGAGAAGTAGATCTAAAGGAAAAGGACGATAGTAAGGATTAGGAGAAAAAAAAAGCAGTAGTTTCCTGTTGCAGTTCAGGCACAGTTATGAGCATGACATTGATGAATCAGCCCATTACAATTTAGGCTACAATTTACTGTGCATAAGAAAGAACATGATGATTAATGTCCCTCTTTTGGGAATGGCCTAAAGACACTTCAGTGAGTAGCACCGCCCCGGGGGCTACTTAAGCTTAATAATAAGTATAATACGATCTTTTGAAACACTGTCTGGATCAACTTTCTCCAACCTCCCCCCCCCCCCCCCCCCCCCCCCGAAAAAAAAAATTAAATTACCTCCCCCCCCCCTTTTTTTTTCTCCTGTTCAGTAACTGTGGGCCTACCCACCTCTGATTTATTATTATTATGCTGACTCACAGTGAACATTAACATATATAAGATAACCATCAGTTCATGATCCAAAACTAGTAGTGTAAAAATGATATCTCTAAGGTCAAGCGTCATATATGTGTACCTTGAGATTTGAATTTGAAAGATAACATGGTCCATGAAGTTGAAAGATAACTTAATCCATGAAGTATTATAAAAGTAACAAATGTCTTGGCTACTGAGTGCAATGTCTCAGAGTCGCAAAGTTTAATGTGAGTCTTGCTGGACATTTGAATATGCAATTTGATGTGTGACACATATTCTGAAGGTGAAACATAAAATATTTTTTTTCAGTAAAGGTGCTAAATTGTCACGTTTGACTTTGGTAAAGTTTTAAAGTCAGTGCATGCTAACTCCAGATTCCTCAGTTTATATGAACTAGTGATACACTTACCAAAATAAGAAATTTGAAGTAACGGATAGGATGTTAGAACATCGCCAGATCAAGATGTGTGTATATTATAATATTATTGTTATATATATATATATATATATATATATATATATATAATACATGTTGATTAGCTTCTAAATAATATTTATATATATATATATATATATTTGATGACTAAACATGGCCATACTACAATCAAACAAAGAAATGCAAGATAAATTCAGAATAACTGTACAAAACAAATTCGCTCCCTTAGAAGAAATACAAGACATAGAAAAACAATGGGAACTGCTTAAAACATCTATAAATGAGGCTGCAAAAGAAGTCATACCAGAAAAGACAACAAAAGCAAAGAAGAAATGGATGACTGAAGAAATTCTTAATCTTATGGAGGAACGAAGAATAAACAAAAACAATTTGGAAAAATATATGAATCTTCATAAAGAAATCAGACACAAATGTAATCTAGCAAAAGAGACCTGGTTAAAAGAAGAATGTGAAGAAATGGAAAATCATTCCAATGCGAACTCAAAAGATCTACACACAAAAATTAAAGAGGTGTGCCATACAAGAACACGTGGATCAACAGGATGCCTCAAATCAAAGGATCGGAATATCATAATGGACAAAGACAAGATACTAGAACGTTGGACAGAATATATCGGTGACCTGTACAATGACAAAAGAGATGAACAAAGAAGAGTGAAAAATAACAACGAGGGACCACCAATCATGAAAGAAGTTCAGAAGTTGTCAAGGCACTACGAAAGATGAAGAATGGGAAAGCGGCAGGACCGGACAACATCACCACAGAGATGATTAAAGCTTTAGAAGACTTTGGAATCACCACGCTGACAAAACTTCTTAACAACATATATGCCACTGGACATATTCCATCAGACTTGTCAAAATCTATCTTCATAGCTTTACCAAAGAAACCCAATGCAAACGAATGTGAAACACATCGTACCATCAGCCTCATGAGCCACATAACAAAAATATTACTCAGAATAATTATGATGAGAATAAGAAATAAAATTCTCCCAGAAATAGCCCAAGAACAGTGTGGATTTATTGAAGGCAAAGGCACTGTAAATGCCATATATGTCATCAGAACAACAATAGAACGTGCCCTAGAAGTTCAGAAAGATCTTCATTTATGTTTTATAGACTACACCAAGGCATTCGACAAAATCAGGCACGACAAGATCATCGACATGCTGGAAGTTCTTAATATCGACGGGAAGGACTTACGGATTGTCAAAAACATGTACTGGGATCAAACAGCTGCAATGAGAATAGAAAACGACATCAGCAAATACATACAGATTAAAAGAGGAGTCAGACAAGGATGTGTACTTTCTCCAGACTTGTTCTCCCTGTATAGTGAAAATATCATGAGACACATAGAAGAAATGCCTGGTATCTCGATAGGGGGACATAATATAAACAATCTAAGATATGCAGATGACACAGTCCTAATAGCAGAAGATGAAGAACACCTGCAGAATCTATTAATTAAATGTCATCGTACAATAGAGTGACAACATGGGCTTAAACCTAAACATCAAGAAAACCAAAACGATGGTGATAAGCAGAAATACTCCAATCCCAACATGCAATATCAAAATCAATGATACCACCCTCAAGCAAGTACAACATTTTAGATATTTGGGGACCATTATATCATCAGATGGTTGATGTCACACCGAAATTAAAAGCCGCATTTGCCAAGCAAAAGCAACCTTCCACAAGATGAAACAGATACTAACAAACATCAATCTGTCACTGGAAATGAGGAAAAGAGTAATGAAAAGCTACATCGAGCCAATCTTATTATACGGGTGCGAAGCATGGACAATCAATAAACAGCTGGAAAAAACAATTATTGCGGCAGAGTTGTGGTTCATGAGACGCATGCTACGTATCCCATGAACAGCTAGAAAAACAAATGAAGAAGTCCTGGTTGAAGCAAATTATAGAAAACAACTTATCACGAATATAAGAAAACGACAGGCAAATTTTTTCGGACACACAATGCGGAAAGAAGCATTAGAGAACATTGTAACAACAGGAAAGTTTGATGGAAAGAGAGGTAGAGGCAGACAGAGGGAAAAGATACTGGACAAGATTACAACATGGCTGGGAGCAGCAAGAACAACAGACACCATTGCTGCTTCGAAAGACAGATGGAAGTGGAGGTCCATGATCGCCCACGCCAGTCGGCAAGGCACCGGATGATGATGATTTGATGAATAAAGCTAGTGCATCTTTTGGAAGACTAAGAGCAAGGATTGAAGACTGCTTTGGAATTCACACACTAAGACAAAGTTTCATAATCAGACATTGACGGTCAAACTGTTATTCATTATAGAAATAATCGTAGATTAATATCAGTCACTACTTAAAAAGTGAAATCAGAAATTTGTTATCAAAATATAATAAATCAAAATGCTTTCCATATAAAAATATAAAAGTTGCAAGAATTGAAAGGAAATGTGAATTTACACAAATGAATTGAAAGGAAATGTGAATTTACACAAATGGCGTCGGGTGGGTTGTAAAGAGAGTATCTTGTTGTGACCAGACATGAGATCGCTCAGATTATAATTCCATGTGACAACATCAATTTTGTCATCTCATGTCATGAGGGTTAATTGCTTTTTACCTGAAACATGTTCAATCCATTGAATTTGGAGAACTTTTCTTTTCTTTTGTTCTCTCCCAAAATCATTCAAAGCCATGAATGATTGGCAAGATGTCCTGTGAAAGACCTAGACATTAGTGTCCTTTATGACAAGATCCCTGTAACAACATAAATTTTGTTGTCAAGAAGTGTTAACAGAGGTACGTTTATTTCCTGGAAAACATTCAATCCATTCCAATAAGAGGAAAGTTTCATAGATATTTTCAATCATTTCCAAAAAGCAGCCAAAGTCATGATTGGTCAGCAAATGATTACCAGGGTGAGCTATTGTGTTTTAAAAACCTCTAAACAACTGTGTTCCTTGTGACAAGAAATATTAGCCTGACATCAAACTCCATGCTTGCCTTCTCTTAAAGCTGCTTTGATGATAAATAAAGGAATGACAACCGTTGATCACAATGCAAACACGTGAACACTTGAAAAAGTTGGATTTTAAAACCACAGAACAGATATTTTATTATCAACAACTGAAGTGCGTCCCTTGTGACTGTGTAACGAAAATTTTCTATTTGCATTGTAACAAAAACTACAAGCTGTTTGATAGATTTGAAATGAAATGATGTTTACAGTACTTTTTGACCTTTCATTGCTATTATTATAATCAAATGTTGGGTGAATCCATTCTCAGACTGTACTGCTTCTACTTTTCTAAGCTTCTCTCTGCTGTCTTAAAGGCAGCATGACATGTAGACGTTTAGACAATATCACACAAAAAACATGTGCAGCCTAAATAAAAGGTAAAAATGTAAAGATGTTAATGTCAATATCTCTCTGAACTTTGATGTGTACTCTTAAATGGTTTCAAGGTTTCTATGTCAGGTAGCCAGATAGTTTTGTTTTTAACAATCATACCGGAAGGAACAATTATTAAAGTCAGGTCGCCTTTTTACCTTGAATTATCAGACCTGCCACTCTTCCCGATTTAATCGGGATATCTCAATTTTTTTTCTCCATATCTCAAGCATCCCGTTCCCGATTTTTTTGTTCCTTCTGTTGCGCCAGATTTTTCTGAAAACTAACTCTGCCTTCATATATTTATAATTTATGTACCCCCATGGTAAATTTTAAAGTTGGCTTGGCAGTCACCCTGGGATTTTTTTAGATTTCATAGAATGGCAGGTCATATATATATACTAAACATTTATGCTTATAATTACATGTTTCTTTTTCTCTTGCTTACAATTGCAGGAAGAACGTCAATGACTCCAACAAACAAAGTGCTGAGTCAAATATGAAGGCCTTTCATACTGGTATTGAAGGAACATGGTTAGGTCGACATTTCAACTTCTGTGATTGGTTTGAGTTGGAGGCTCTAAGATTGTTTCAATGATCTGCTTCACATGTACACGGAGCTCTGCTGCTGTGCTTTACGCATACCGGTAACTGTCTTGGCCATCTGTAGAAATGGCTAGAGGAGATGAGGACAAGTATGGAGAAGGGAGTAGAGTGCATGGCTGGAATTGTCCACTGCATATGTTGCAGGTATGTTAAGATGCCACAGTGAGTGTGACTACACGTATTTATTTCATACTTTTTAATTTTGGGAATTTACTTTTCTTATGTTTATTTCAGGTCCTGACAGATATATATGTGTCATGACATGGTGGAATCAGGCGCTCTTCAATTTTTGGGAATGCAGAGTTATTGATACCATCTGAACGATTATTCATTTGTGTTGCTTTCAATGGAAAAAAAATGCATGTAGCTTAAACAGGGGTAGAGATATTTGCAATTGATGGAGGTGAGGTAGCCTGGTTTTGCTGGTAATATTGATAAGAAAATGGCTGCCAAAGTTTGGTGACTTCAATAGCTTAAGAACCCTTGAAAACTGAAAATGACATATTTTGTGCTTTTAAACGTTTTTCAGTAAAATTCACATGGAAATTTGTTTTCATATGAACATAAAAGGTATTTAGCCAAAAAACAAAATTTCGATAAAAATTGGCAAACTGGTGGAAAAATGCCTTTTTCTTCTATTTCATTATTTTGACGAGCGCCTGATTTCACCACGATGCCTTAACCCTCTAGACAGTGTTAAAGAAATACTGAAATTTGAAATGGTACACAGACGTATATCAAATAGGTAGACTTTGCTCTTATTTTAGAAAGGTTTATGGAGGGTCTATTTCTAGGCAGCGAGTTCTAGTATGTAAAACGCTGAATTATATTCCAACAAGGCTTACTATTTTCAGATATCATTATCTTAATTTAATGTGCCAAATATGTCACATATATGGTCTTTGAGGGTTAACCGCTATTATTTGGCAGTAATTTGTATTGTCTACACCTTGAACACAAATTATTAGGTGCAGTTAATCAATCTTAACAAACTTTTTATGTACTACAGTGGAGTCCACTTAAAATGAGTTCTGAAATAACGATAAGTCTGTTATAAAGACGTGCGCAAGCAGATGGAACGCACCACAGGGTATGGTGGGGTTGGGGGGACAACACAGCGGGCGAGTTAACCTGGAGCTCTTTCTTTCTGATCGCCAATGCTGAGCTGTCTACATCGCTAGCGCTAGAGAAAGAAACCTGATTCGATGTTTGATCAAGTAAGACCTAGAGGTTATGTTGAAGAAAATCATCACCAGGGGAGATGACAAAAAGAAATAAACGGAACACCAAACTCATAGATTAGGCCTACTTTATTATATCCTTTGAATTTATTACTGGGTCCCTTATAACAAGAATACAGCTATAACGGACTTTTGCACCAGTCCCCTCCCTCTGGTTATAGCAGGGTTCCACTGTAGCAGCTTTAGGTGGATGAGCTCTTTGAGTGGGGTACCATCAGTGCCATTATTTGCTGAAGAAGGTACTCCCTTGAAGTGCTTTTGTCCTATAATAGTGTGTCTCAATCAAAATACTCTTGTCTGAAAGTGGCGGGGGGGGGGGGGATTCAATAGCTTAACAGATATATACAGTTATACAGTCGAACCTGTGTAAGACGGAATCGCAAGGGAGCCAGAAAAAATTCCGTCTTAGACAGGAGAATTTAGGGTGAGATGGAACAGGCCCAGCCGGTGGGATCAAGGATCGTTTGTCCAATCGGCAAGCAGTGGTCAAAACTTCACACCTCTAAGCTAAGCTGCTATACTGTCTGATAATGACATGCTCAGTCTTACTTCCTACTTATCCAATTACCACCAGTGCTTGCCTTTCATAGGGCCACTGTTTGACGTATTAAAAACAGAAATATTTGAACATCTTTGCTTACACCCTTAACCCCACCCACCGGTGTAACAAGCACAGTCAACCAATGCCACCCCTCATGTAACAACGATTCGAGGAACTCTTTTCTCGGCTGGCCATACGATCAGGGCGGCAGGCATTTGTCAATTTCACACCTCTGGCATCTGGCTACCCAGAAAAGTTTGCGAAGTGGCTCACTACTCGAGCACTCCCTCAGGCAGTCGTGAGATTTCACACTCACTCTACCCTGACCATCTGCATCGCTCAGGGCTCACATGATGGGGTAACATCTACCCCCAAATTGCACCCCTACTCCCCTTCCTCGCCCTGCGGCATGGCCACGGCCGGTGGAACCAAACTTGTGAGTTTTGTTTCAAATCAGGGCTGAGCAGACAAAGCATTTTCCGTCTTAGAAAGGTGAAACCTCGGAAGGGAGCAGATTTTTCTTTCCGTTTTCACGTTGGACAGGTTTCCGTTTTGTACAGGAATATATCGAGCGGGGAGCGGGGAGATTCTGATAAGACAGGTTTCCGTTTCATACAGGTTTTCGTTAAGGCCGGTTCAACTGTTTAGTGTTTGTTCGCCTGTCAATCTGGATATCTGCAGTTAGATCCTCACCAACACTAGGTTTTTATCTCATGTTTTCTACACGTCTTTATTTTATGGTAGGTAGGATCAAGCCCCTATCTTCTCAGATCAGGATGAAAACTTTCTACGGTCTCATGTGGAAGTTTTGCTTTCACAAGATCACCTGACAGTTTTAAAATTGAAAAGATTAATCCTTTGTGTGTGTGTGTGATTTTACACAGATTTAGTTTGCTCATATTATGACTATGAAATGTCTGGACAGCAGTGCAATTTTGATATTTTTCTTTTATGATGGGTGTGCACTGAAAAACCAGTTCTTCTTCATTACTCAAAAAGCAGGAATGATTGTGACACATTAGAAATAAAGTATAATATAACAAAATATTTAAGGTTAAGGGAATGTAGCAAAAAGCAAAAAAAAAAAAAAGCAAAGGAAGTAAGAAGAGTAACGTAAGTAATGCAGCTTTTTGATCAGTCTATTTAATTTATCAAAAGATACTTTCAGGAGGTCCATTAGGTCCTGAGGTATGTAGGGGAGTGCAAAAATAGATGTATAGTTGTGAAAAAAGAAAATGGATACAATACTTGATAATATTTATTAAACAATCAAATGAAAATTCCATATATATACATGTAGTAATAAACACAACATTTGTTACTCAGATACTCAAACTGCTTACCGTCAGTATTCACGCATTCCTCAAATAATCTTGATGAATTGAGTATCATAACAATGGTGAGACACTTACTGTATACCTTCTTTTGCAACATCCCCCCCCCTCCGCAGTACAGAGCAGTGAAACTCTTCTGTTAGTATTGCAATGTCATTTTGATAAAATGATGCCCTCATACTGCAGTAATTTATTTGCAGTCCTCATCATAGAAATTAATTGTTTAATAATGCTTGTTATTATCTCTTCTTTTTCTTACAGGTTCTGGCTTGGATAGTAATCGTTTATTTCATCATCATCACAAATGGATGTCTGATACCCAACCTCATCTCTAATGTACAGATTCCCTTGTACTGTGTATCCTTGTCTCATAAGGTCTGATTGGGATTAAGCATTTGTCAGATGTTGATGTAAATATTGTTTTAGAGCTGTAGTGCAACTAGCCATGTGATTTAAATACACGAAAGCTGCAGACACCCGTGCTTCAATGGTGAAGCTGAGATGGTTATTTGGTTGAGCATCTCTGTCTGCTAAGATGCAGTATCCCATAATGGTGTATTCAGACCAAAGACCCACGTCCGTCCGTCTAATTAACTGACAGTAGCTGACTGGGGCTGTTGAGTTCATATCACACCACATGTTTATTTGTTGGAGGGTTTTTTCTCCTGGTAATTGGGGTCACACAACATTAGTTTTTGTAGTTTCTTGGGTATGTTTCAACTGAGGTCAAATTGTATAATATCTGGTGTGTTTCCACACCAAAATTGGACCGGGAGTACGAATATGATATGAAATTTAACCATTTCAACAAAAAGTATGTTTTAGAAAATTAACCTGGCTGAACTTACCCCCACATCATTGAACCTGATAGAATCAATTTTAAAGTAAAGTTGACTTGACAGGCTCACATCCAACTCCCTTCATTGGTAGGACACAAGACTTGGGTCTGAACACCTGCAGGTGAGATATAAGTATTAAATTGGTCCGTCTGTGTGACGAAAGGACGCGGCTCTTTGGTCTGAAAGCACAGTTACCCTAGGTTATCCTTGAAACTGACAGGCTGGCTGGGTCAATGCAGCCTGTGTCTAAAATGATCTAACTTGTGTTGATGGCAGGTGTGAAGCATTTGGGCTTTATTAAGATAAGTAATAATAATAGTTCTTTTGGGAGGCTTAATAAGCCTTATGTGCCCCATTGAGGGGGGGGGGGGAGTGTCAATCCTTCAGAATGTTGTTTTTGTCAGAGAAAGTTTGTTTCATATCTATGATCTTTAACTAGTCCAAGACAACCTCCATCCTTGTTCTGGGGCTGGTGTTGACACTTATTGTGGCCACAACACTAGATCCCGCGGACAAAGCTGTCAGGGACAAGGGAGGCAACAAAAATGTCCCAAAGTTGGACAGAACCAAACACAAGCATGCAATTGAGAACCAATCATGTGCCCTCTGCCAAGTTTTTGTGTGAGTATCAAAGGGCTTTGGTTTTGGGTTTTTTAGGGGGATTGGGGAAATAATGGGGAAGATGATATGTTCCAGGGTTTGTACATAGTGACTGTTAAGGATCATTGAATAAGAAATAACACAAATACTTTAAGCTTTTCCCAAGATAGTTTAAGTTATATCTTTAGAAAACCTCAGTGAGGGAAAAAATTTGTCATTGATTTTATTGTAATTTTGATGACAGCAACATGAAATGTTAAAACTATGAGCCAGAATGGAAAGTTCGAAAAAGACTATGGATAGGATTAGTTTAAATATATTGCTTGCTGTAAGTTAATGCATCAGGGTGTGGGAATGACAGCGTAAATTTACCCTGTGCAGCCCTACTGTAGAATGCATTATTGCAGTAAACCATCAGGATGACCATTGTAAGTCTGGCAAGACTAACTGCAGACCGTTTCATTGTGGTAGACCACTAAGTGGACCCGCAACATACTCATTTTTCAAAAAGATCTTCCCACTAGAGAAATGTGTGGCATACCATGATTACAGATGTTTGTTTTAGATCTGGCCTCGTATGGCGATGATGGATTTGATATCTTACAAATTTAAAACTGGAAAACTTGGAATTCTTTGGTGTACATCTGTGTGTATTATTGTGTTTTTGTTATGTTTTTCTCAAAGTAGGAAGGTTTAGGATTTACCTTGTAGAATTGTCTTTGTTTTTATTACTTTTGGAGTTATTTTGGTGAGTGTGTCATGTAGAGTCCATGTTAATCGCCATGTTAATCCTGTCTCCTTGATTCCTTTAGCCAAATGTCTCTTTATATTCAGGGGGCCAAAATCGAAACACTGCAGTGCCTGCAATAAATGCGTGTCTGGATTTGACCATCACTGTCGGTGGCTGAACAACTGTGTCGGGGATCGGAACTACAAGTGAGCATTTTCTGTTGGTAATGTTTCTTTAAGCCCTGCATTTTCCAGTTGAAGATAGGACTGCATCACTTTGTTTCATTTTATATTGATGTGATTCATTGTGGTGAAACCAGACGCTCGTTAAAAAATAATGAAAGGGAAGATGCTGCCATTTTTAAAATAGTTTGGCAATTTTCATCGAATTTTTTTTTTGGCTTAACACTCTTTATCTCCATTTGAAAACAAAATTCTGTTTTGATTTTTCTGAAAAACTTTGATTAAAAGCTTTAAAAAATGTAAGTTTTCAAGGACTCTCATGCTTTGAACGTCACCAAACTTTGGCGGACATTTTCTTGCTAACTTTACCAATAAAACCAGGTGGCCTCCACCTTCAATCGCAAATATCTGGACATTTATTCTAATTGAATGGGTGTTGTTTTCATCCAAAGATAGATAAACCAACAAGCTTTGAGATGATACCAATTACTCTATATACCCAAAAATTGATGAGTGCCTGATTCCATCTATTTGTGACACATAGATGGTAATTTGTATCTGCTGTTGCTGAAATAATGTTTAAAACATTCAAGACTGAAAGTTATTGCCCTGCATGATAAATGTACTGAATTTAGTTAAGAGGTAGTATTTTGGAGTTTTCATAATTATTGAAGACTTAACTAGATATATATATGGGGGTTTTGTGGCCTCGAGGTTAAGATGTTGGTCTCTCATTCAATAGATCCCGGGTTTGAAACAGGATAGCAACAGGAAAATTTTCTTCTCTGGGCTCCTGACTCTTTCTGCAGCCTTTTTGCTGCTACTCCTTGGCTACTTCTTACTGCTGTCTTTCAGCCTCATCCCTGATCTTCTAGTTGGAAAGATCTACACCTAGCCGTCACGGACAAGGGCGAAAAATCTCGGAGATCCCTTTGTGGTCCAAAAATTGATAAGAGTAGGTTTTGGCCGCCACCGGGGCACAATTCAAAATTTCCTACCAAATGAAAATGTTTAATGTGCCCCGTGTGCTCATATGACCTTATGCAGTTGCAAGCGCCGCAAAACACTTACCAGTGGGTAGTTGGCGGGTGCTCTGGTGCGGGTTGCTTCTTCTTTCCTATCAAACATCTATCGTCCTTATCTCCCCTTCTTCTTTTTTATGACTGTTACTCTCTTGAAACACCTCTAATCTTCTGGCGCTCATATGACCTTATGCAGTTGCGAGCGCTGTAAAACCTCTACTAAAACTAACTGACTAAAAACACTTACCAGAATTTTTTTAAAAACAAAAAAACTAGATATTCATTGTCTACTGAAATTGACAAATTGACTTACAGCAGACTATTCTCAGTGTTTTGATTTTTGAAAGGGTATATTTGGTGTAACAAGTGAATTGCAAGAATGATTTTTTAAATCTTGTCCCTTCAGTATGCCATTTGATGGAGTTGCAATAAATCGGGACCTAATTATGTTTATATGTTTGTAATTTCCAGATGGTTTTTCGCAACCCTGATTTTTGCAATCCTGGCGTCACTGATGGTGATATGTGTCAGCATCTGCCTTTTTGTGGGATTTTTCACAGACAAAGACAAAGGAAACATTATAAAATCCTATAGGGGTATGGAATTACCTTTTTATGTTTTCACCTTTTCAGTGCATCAAATTTTGCTGTTTAGAACGTTAATGATATAATATGTATGTAATACTATTGCTTGAAGAATTAAACCACTTTGTTTTGAGGAATAAAAAAAGGGGTACAAAAATAAAATGGATGTAAGGCAAGCACGGATCATTTGTGACAATCATCTCCATTGCATTATTGATCAATTCTAAGGTGCTTATGTTTGTCGGACCTTTCTTTTGCAAACCTCAGCCTCACTGAAATAAAACGTCAGACCTGATGAATTAGTATCTTGCAAGGTTCACTGTTGGCATTTGACAGATGTCAATGTTGTATGTCGAGCATTGTTTGTTAGCAGTTGATGTTCACATGGCCCTGTCTTCTTTGAAAGAGGATTTTTTTTTCACTGATGCCATGTTGAAATCACTTTTTATTTATTCATGTTTAAGTACCACTGTTTTCTTTTGATGAAATGTTGTCTTCATTGTCTTTATGTTGAAAGCACATTTAATTATGGTTCTTACATGTAAAACAAGTGTCAGATTAGCTGATAACTCTTTGTGAATAACTTTTTTCTTGTTTAGTGTTGGCAAGTTCTACTCAAGAGTGAACTATTTTCGTTCTTCTCTTTGCATTGTACCTACTTTACCAATACCATACTGTTTCCATTTTTAGATGCCTTTCTAGACTCTATATAGTATTTACAAAACGCAAGCCTTTCTTGCACGAAAGCTTTATGTGACAATATGATAAACATTTTTAGAGACAGACCTTAAAGAGTGTACTCTGTTTACTATATAACTGAAAGCAGGCAGGCCTTTCTTGCACCAAGGTTTAATGCAATGATCATTTACTTTTTACTAGCTGACGGTTGGAGGATGCCACTTCGTCTCCTCAGAACTATTTTCTCCAAAGTGTCCAAAGTAAAGAGGCACTTGCACAGAATAGTTCTGAAGTGACGACTTGTAGAGCCGCCTTTTTTTAATCTCCCTTTGTTTCTGTGTCTCTTTCTTGCCAAATTACTGTTATTATGTGGATGTGCTTCTTTTTACTCAAAAAAAAATGTTTCCGTTTTGCAGACTCTGTCAATTCTGGCGGGTCACATTCCCTGAAGTTTTTCGAGCTACCGGTGCCAGACGGAGCCTTCTTGACAGTGGATATCCTCACGGCACTGCTGGCTTTCATCGCATTTGGATTCCTGGTCCATCTGACACAGTTCCACATCTGGCTCAGTGAGTCCATTTAACTCCTTTTCTCTCTTTTTTTGTCCCGATTAATGTAATACCAGAGATTGTTCTAACAAAACGCTGCCGTCTGTGCTATAGTGGTTAGTGCATCACTGCAGCACACAGAAGATGAGAATTCAATTTACATTTTTATCAAATAGATCCGTTTGTTGGCTGGGATGTTGTATACCCATCAGTTCAGGTTGGCCCTGATAGGCAGGGTTGAATTAGCCTCTTTGGCCTAACTCACACTGTCTATCCCAGGATTTGCTTGTGGGGGATAAATAAAGTTGACTTTTTTAAAAAAGGAGTTTTCAGTCTGCTTTGTTTCCTGGCATCTTTTTTTTTGTATTGGTTAGGCAAAAACGGTAAAGTTAGACCAAGAGCATGTAACTTTGAGGTCTTGCACAGATGCATGACAAGGAAAAATCAGGATAATGTTGATAGGTTTTTTGTTTATACAAATTTTTTGAGCAATTGAGCAAAGAAATTAGGGGCAAGTCATGATAGCCAATGACCATTTCAGATCTAGCACTTTTTGAAGAATATGAAAAAAAGGGAGGCTTAAAATGTGTACAATTATTGTAATTGTCCCCAGTATGCAAGGACATGTCCACCTACGATTTCATCGTCATGCAGAGAGAGAAAGCTCGAGCCAAGGAGGAAAGTTCTCTGAGTGCTTTGTCCTCACCGAATTCTCGTTCACAGCCTATCAAAGTGAGTTCCATTACTGTTCATTCAAATCACTGACTTCCAGGGGTTCAAATTTCGATTTAACAGTGGCTGCCAACATTTCAAGAGTGTTTTAGAATATTAATTGTCGATAACTATTCAAAGCAGACACATATAATTTTTGCTATTTATCATTTTTATGTGTGTTTAATTAAGGGGAAAATATATTTTCAATAGGTCTTATGCCTTAATATACATGATTATTTGAAGTTTGTAAATAAAGAGATTTGATCTCGTAGTTTTTCGTTATGTTTTCTTTAGAGTATTTTTCAAAATAAGCAAGAAGATAACAAGGAACTCAACAGCCTATCAAGGAGTGTTGGCCTATGTATACAACCAGGCAAGTCAAAAGTAGTGAAGCTAGGAAAAGTTTCAAGCCCTGTTGTGACAGTGGAAGACAGCCCCCTGGAAGAAGTGGACTCCTTTACCTTCCTTGGAAGTGTCATCGATGGTAAAGGAGGAACTGAGGCAGATGTAAAAGCAAGAACCACCAAAGCAAGGTCAGCATTCAAGCAATTATCAAAAGTCTCCAAAGCAAGCAGCATCTCACTGCACACCAAGATTCGACTCTTTAATTCAAATGTCAATTCTGTGCTCCTCTGTGGCTGCGAAACTTGGAAGACAGCAAAGACAATGCTGAATAAAGTCCAGATTTTCATCAACAGATGTATGAGGAGTAGCCTAAGAATGAAGCAGCAGGATAGAAATTTCTAAGGAGAGCCGTCAGCAAAACCAGACAGGACATGGTCAGAAACAACAAGATCAGAGAAATGGTGCGAACAACACCTGTCCTCCACTACATTCGAAGGCAAACAGTCAGGTGGTTTGGACATTTCACACATATTGCACCTAACCAGCTTGCCAGTAAAGCCTACTACAGGAAAGTATCAGGGTACAAGAAAAGAGGAAGACCAAGAAAGACCTGGATCCAGGGTGTGAAGGCTGAGAACATACAATATCCCACCCAGCCAGGCCATCGAACTTGCTAGAGACAAGAAGCTCTTTCTCCCCTCGACACCCTAGAGGTACAAGAGGACGGATTAAGTAAGTAAGATAGAAAAAGAAATGAAGAGCTGTGGGAAAGGACAGGACAAAAGGATATAGAAGTAGAAATTCAACTAAGAAAGTGGTGATGGACACACCTATAGAAAGCCCAAAGGAAACATCACAAGACAGCCCCTGCAGTGGAACCCACAGGGAACACGAGGCATGGGTAGGCCACGGGAAACATGGAGGAGATGTGTGGAAAGGGACGTGAGAGAGATGAAGCTCACTTGGAACGAGCAAGGAAGGGATGGCCCAGGACTGAGATGTATGGAAGGAGCTTGTATGTGGCCCCTGCCAGGGGTGAAAGGCATTGATGATGATATTTCAAAAGAATGGTAAGCGGGATGAAAGTGTAAACAAACACAGTTTTGGTTTAGAGAAACGCTGTTGATTTTGAATGGAGTCAGTTAATGTGTTTTGGGTTTCGGTGTCAATCATTTTTTTCCCCCACATGTACTGAAAGATATGTTATAGCTTTTTAATGTAAATTGTGTTGTACATTGTCTTAAATTCTGTTCATAACAACATTAAGAACTTGGAAAAGTTATCATGATGATGACAGTCCTATCACTTTTCAGGCAAACAAGATTACACCCAGTAAGCAGCAAAGTTCAGAAACGCACATGACCAAGTAAGTATACTATAAAATACAATATATTTAAGTGCTGTTGTATGAAAGGTTGTTCGTACAATTTTTCTCTCTTCTATCATCATCTAGCATGTGGTTTATTCTTCTTGTGTGCACACATTTGTATGTGGCTGGAAATTCCAGAATATAAAAAACTAATTTTGTAAAAATTATCTCCTGATCATATGAATATAATGGTTTTTCATTCTCCATCCGCAGGTTCTATCTTTCAGTCTTCTTGCTTTTCCCAGCACTAAATGATCATTATTGTGTCAATATACCTCTCTTTGTTCATAGTATAACATTATTTGTGAATGATAGAATGTACATGTACACACACAGCTAAGTATAAAAGTTATTCCTATAATGGCCATACCCCCCGGGGCAGTGCCACTGACTAAAGTGTCTTTAGGCCATTCCCAAAGGGGGGACATATCTCGTTCAAGCATAGTAGAATTGTAAATGGGCTGACTCATGTCACGCTCATAACTGTGCCTGATCTACAACAGGGAACTGCTGCTTTTTCTTTCCTGATCCTTACTATTGTCGTTTTCCTCTACTTCTTTTGAATGTTTGTCACTCCGTTGTGACCTGCTATTTTGGGGAGCCTTGATAGTCGAAGCAGACCTTGTGCTGTTGAAGCTAGAGAGGTGAGCAGTCTTAAATCTGATTCCCTGTAAAGATTTCTCTGTTGACAACCACCCCTTGGCGCTCATATGACCTTATGCAGTTGCAAGCGCCGTAAAACCCTCTACTAATTTAAAAAAATTATATATATATAATGGCCATAGTTTGTTGCCTATGTTCTGTGCCTAGAGTGAAAAATGGACAATTCAAGATAACATCATGGAGAGGCTGTTAGTCTTTGACAGGCTCATTTATGTGCATTACATGTACCTTATGCATTCTGATGTGTTTTGTATAAATGTGTCACCTGTGTTTGTGGTGTATCGGGTAGACACTTTGCTACGGCATGAAAAAGGCACGACTTCGGTTCCCATGTGGGGAGTTTGTGGTATGGAGTATTTCTGTCCATCTACCGAGTTCAAATTCCTCTCGCCTGGGTTGGCCCTGACAGGCAGGGTTGAAGCAGCTACCCTTTTAGATAATCTAAATAGTGTCAATGAGGGCATAAAACATTATATGGTATCATAATGATAAAATGTGAAATATCTAGAGCTTTTTTTTTTTTTGTAAGTGTTTTACAGCGCTCGCAACTGCATAAGGTCATATGAGCGCGCGGGACACACCTAATATTTTCAGTTGGTAGGAAATTTTGAATTTTGCCCGGGTGGCGGCCGAAGCCTACTCTTATCGATTTTAGACCACCAAGGGATCTTTAACGTGCGCAACTTGCACACGGGCCCTCCGAGATTTTTCGCCCTTGCCCGAGAAGGCTAGGTGTAGATCTTTCCTACCGGAAGATCAGGGGTGTGGCAGAAAGACAGCAGTAAAGAGGAGCCAAGGAGTAGCAGTAGAAAGGCTGCAGAAAGAGTCAGGAGCCCAGGGGAGGGGGCAAAGGAGGTGAGGGGGTGGGGGCAGAAAGAGGAGACGAAAGCAGACAACAGAACATTGCTAGAGAGCAGAAAAGGGGGAGAAAGGAGACAATTTGTTGAGAAGAAAATTTTTCGGTCGCTACCCGGATTCGAACCCGGGACCTTTGAATGAGATGCCAACACCTTAACTTCTAGGCCACGAGAGCCCCTTATTTAGAGCTTACTTTCTGGTATGGATACAATATATTACCATGCTAGTTTACTATATAAGTATTGTCATTATTATTTTTATTATATCATCACTATTATTGTTGTTATTGTTATTATTATTTTTATTGTCATGATTATTACTTTTATTTTTACCTATTATCAATATTATTATTGTGTAAATTTTTGTCCTCCGCCAGATCTGAAGAAGATTTGAAAAAATATCAGACATCTCTCGAGGAAAAGGAACAGATGGATGGAGGGGAAACGCCTCCGCCTCTCTCAAGCCCCATCAGAGATGAGAAGGTGCGAGAAACTTAGGCCGCTTTTTCTGTCCATTTTGATAGGAGTCATTGCTTTGAAATGATTTCATAATAATAATGATAACAATAATAATAATGATAACAATAATAATAATTACATTTATATAGGGCATATCCATGCTCTACAGCATGCTCTATGCACTTTACAGTCAATATTAACACTCCCCCCACCCCCCTGCAGACCCTAGAACACACAGTAACATTCAAGGCTTCCCAGGAAGCATACAATAGAACACAATCAATTGATTGTAATACTCTGAAAAGTGGCCAAAAAATTTTACAAAGCTATGAATTTTACTAAAAAGCATTTAGTATGTAGGGGGAATAGAACCTATAGTGAGAGCATTGATAGTGAGGTAAAAAGTCGACAATGACAGCCCAATAGGAAAAAAACATTTCTTAATGACAGCTTTACTGGTTTGCCCAGGACTGTGAGGGCTGGAGAGAGATTTTCTATGATCACAAGAGTCCCTTATTGATTTGTTTAAAAATATTTGTCATTTTGTATTCGTTGGATTCTCTTCATCTGCTCCAACTGTCTGTTTCGTCTTATTTTTTACCAGCAATTTCAGCAATTTCATAAGCAAAATCCACCCACTGTTGATATAGGAATATAAGAGGTTTATCATTGAGTGTTTTATCATTGCAAGCAGTGGTTGGGTGGGGGGTGGGGGGGTGGGGGGGCGCCACATACAACTGGTAGGTCTTATTTCTTTTCTTTCCTTCTGTTGTTTCTGTCTGCCTGTCTTGCTTTTCCCTGCACTAAATGACCAATATTGTGTTGATGTGGTCTGCTTTACTGAAACAAACCCAAACGAGATTCATCAGTTCTGCCTTACTTTTCTCCTCAGTTTGGGTTTTCCCATCAAACAGAAGAGCCCAGCACATACACAGCTCTACGCAAAATGAAGAGGAAAAAGAAGAAAAAAGCTGTGGCCGTAGGTAGAGGCGACCCAGAAATGCAAATAGCTACCATAGGTCAGTAAATGGAACTCTTTATGAGTGTTAACCCATTTTTTTTCCTTTTTTAAATCCCATTGTTATGAGAACTATTAATTATCTACTGATAATTGTGTGGTAACTGCAACTCTGGGAGTTATTTAAGAGACAGGACCTACAAACCCAACATCTATCTCCAATAGGACAGAGCTTTGATAATTCTCCAATCACTCCAGGTTAAGAACACCCCAATGGGGATTTGAACCTGGGTCATCTTTACCATAGCTGGGCACTGTACCATCTGAGTGCCCCTTGGTAAGAGTTATTACGTTTACATGTCTCCAGTTTATTGCAAATGAAGTGGAAAATGGCAAACACTTTGTAAGAGTTTTAATTTACCAGAAAATTTGATGTTGAAGGTGGACAAATTATGGCTGCAGGCCAATGCTGATCATGGAGTTTCTTGCAGCTCACGGAAACGTTTGGTATACTTTTTAAAACAGAAATAATAGAAAAATTTCCTATTTTTTAGATTTTGATTAATCATTTTATTATAAAATGCAGGTTTCATCTTGGTATTTGTTTATCAAAAGAAAAATAGTTATTTAGCAAATAGTATAAAAGGTTTGGCCCTTATTTTAAAAGGTGTGACCTTTTACTGTTAATGGCCCCTGATCCGAAAAATTTACTCATCCGTGAAATGTCCCACTTTTGTGGAAATAAGGAGACACAGTAGAGTTTAAATATGCCTTAGATTTAAACAAATTGACCCAGGCCGAACTTACCCATCTTATAAGTCTGTGTGTGAATCTGAATGTCTGAGTGTTTGTGTGTGTTCCTGTGAACATATACATTTGCTTGTTATTGTAAAGTTTACAAGAAAATGATGTTCAATCTGGGTTTTCCCATCAGAAGGATGTCAATGAAGCTGTAGGAACAAACCACTTTTGCAAAGAGAAGAAAGTTGTGTGTGCACGTGGGAATCTATTCACCATATGCAAACCGTTGCACTTTGTTTTAGCTTAAGAATTTTCTTTTGCTTCCAAATATGTATCGAACTTTTCAACACCCATTGACAATGCTATTTGTTCTTGTGAATATTCCCTCAGACAATTCTGCCATGTACCATCATAATGGGCTATCATCAGGGATGACCAGTGACGATTGGGCCATGAACAAGCGCAAGAAAGCTGGAGGTTTCCGCCCCCATCCCAGTTTGTCCAACTCATCTTCCTCTGAATATCTTCCGCACGGGGACTCAGCTGCAAAGCTGAGCCTCAGCGACAAAAAGGCAGCAGCAACGTCAGACGAAGAGGCTGATAATGAGGATCTCAACACAACGACGATGTTCTCTGTAAATTCCAGTGCTCATTTTTTCCCAGACGGGAGCCTCAATTACAAGAACAGCCTTCAACCACTTCCTCTGACCCCGATTCCAAAACGGAAGTGGCCTCCTCAGGCTCAGCAAGATATCCCACCCTTGGATCTGACCGCGTTGCGTGGGAGCACGGAAAGTACGAACTCCTACAAACCTTACACGGGCACAACGCGGTCATTTGACACATACAGGTTCACAGGAGACCAGAAATCCTTGTCTCCCTTGAAGCCACTACAAGAAGTAGCTTATGATTCTGGAGTCTAGTTCCAGTACAGCTAACTTGTCAGTGACAAATGAGAATAGTAAACAGCTTTATCTTCCTATGATTTAAGTTTCTATGATGTTGACTCGGAGCTTGTGATATTTTAAAGTCTTGGAATCTACAGCTGCTCTTAGAACTTTGGCATTCAGAACAAAATTGTTTGCTGCTTTAAGACGTCATTGTGTCTTTGGACAATATTTGACCATTTCATTGATTTGCCAGCTGTGGCAATTTTTATCCCAAGCCATATATGTTTACAAATAAAAACATGAAATTCTGCATTGCCGTGTCACAATTACACAGTTGCACAAAGGGACAAATATCACAAATGCATGCATACACTAAAGGGTACACATCATTTTTACATACATGCACTAGAGGGCATTCATCAAATCTACTCATATACACAAAGTGACGCACTAGTACGTTTACTCACATATATATATATACAAAATAACACACTATTACATCTACACACATACACAAAATGAAACATATCACTTCTACTTTCATACTCAAAATAACGCCTTTCACATCTTCACTCGACCTCAAATGACACATGTCACATCTAGGGACAGTCACACACAAAAGGAGATTGTGTCACAAATGCTTGTTCATATCACCAGTGAACGATCTCCCTATTCCACACTGGACATTGCGGACTGCTGGGACACAGCACCTGTGAACTTACAGACAAGTATTACTCTTATCCAGTGTTTAAGATAAGGACTCGTCCTCCAACTTTGCTGTCTCCGCAAACATTTGAGGAGACAGGCCTGAACCCAAGATGATGACCTTATAGGGAAGCTATGGCATTACCCATCGCAACAAGGAGGGATAACTGCCGTTTTCACCGTTTCAAAGAGGCTCTGTGTGCATGGAGGCACAACAAACTTTAGAAAAAAGAAGAAAAAGTTGTGTGTGCACAGGGGAATCTTTTCACCACATGTGCAAACCATTGAATTCCTTTATAATGTTTGGGGGGGTTTTTTGGTATTTTTTCCGTTTGTTTCCCAAACTTAAAAACTAATTGACTAATAGCTTCAACAAAAATTTCAGAGATCTTCAACGTAATTTTGTAATAGGATGGGGGGGTTGTGATCCAATTCCTTTCAGGCATTGAATTCACAGATATGCACACTTACTAATGTCACATTCTATTCTTTCATAGATTTCTCTGACTTAGCACGTTTGTGTAAGTGAAAGAAATCCATGTACATGTAGATGGATATGCAAATAACTAACATGTGGACATATGCAAATTCAGAATCTATTTTTAATGTTAATTGGACTGTCGATTTGTACAAACTGGTAGATCTGTTTCATACTGATCTCATTGCACATAGTCATTTTGACATCATGTTCGTTTTAGGTGATCTGCTTTTGTATTACATATTTTAGTTTTAGTCCTGCAGTGAGCAAAGCTGGGTGTGTGTCGGCCATTGCTTCAAATGCCATGGCTGTGAGCTTGTGCAAATGCCACAAACGTAGAATTCCAAGTACTTGCATGTATGTTGATGTGCTTTAACCAGTGTCATTATTTTGTGTCACGTTTTTGTGCAATTTACGATGGTGGAGAGCCCTACACATGTTTTTCATTAGATCTTCAATTACATGAACATGTCACATTAACAGCTGCCTGTTTTGTAGGTTTGTAACTCAACATTCCAACATTAATAAGACAATGAGTTGTTTTTTAAATTATTTTGACTTTGTCTTCAAGTGATATGCTGTGGCAAAGTTACCTGTTCACTTTACCAGGATTCTGTTGCATGTATTTGAAATCAGATTGACTTTTGGGTGTTTGGGCCTCAGTGTTCTGTGAAAATGATGATTTATTTGTCAAAAGAATACTTGTTTTTATGTTTATATATCTGAATTTAGTCGATTTGATTTAACTGATTCACTCCATGATTATTTTGGCCTCTTGATGGAATTATTTTCTGGGTTCTAAATTTGAGTGGAGGGTTACATCACGTTTCATGCAAAATGTCAGTAGTTTCTATTTTTAAAATATGCATTACCATACTTCAAATGAAAGATAGATAACTGAAAAGTGCACATGACAGTGGTTTGAGAGGTGTGGTGTATAAGGTCGGTACTATAAAAGTATAATACGACCAAGATCACAAAATTTACAATCAGCATTTTTGCTTACTTGATCCCTGGTGTTGAGGAAACCACTGTTTGCTGGTCATAAAAGGCTTAAAATGTCAAATAATCCAATTGAAAGTTAGTATAACCACAACTCGAGTCGGTTAACTATATACACAGACATTGCGGGGTTCGACAAATACAAATCAAATGTTGGAGGTGAATTGTAAAATCTCAGGTCCTCAGCCAAAATTTGAAGGGAAAAAAAGTAAAGGATCGAAAAAAAACTCCAAATAAGAACACTTCTGTACACACAAGATATAATCTTTGAAGTTTACAACAAAAATGAAATCAGTATGATACATTACATTGTAATCCTTGATAAAAATTAAACAGAATGGTACTGCTGGAAACAGTCCTAGGGGCAGAGATATGGCTGGTCAGAACAACTTTTACAAACTTAAAGTGATCTCTTTCTGTTGGTGGCACTGTGGCGGTGCACACAGTTCCTGTCCTTGCAGATGAAGTGAATAAAGTCCTCTGAGCCTCTGAACAGCACTGAATATTCTTGTTCTGCCTGTGTCCGTACAGCATTTTGCTCTGACTAGCTGCTCCATCAACAAGCTCACTTATAAGTGTCTCCTTGAATTAGGGGAAAGTTGTTTTCTTTGTAGCCTCTGGTCTTGTCAGGGAATACAGAACTAATACGCAGTGGAAAAGTATTTTTCACCACTTGTACATTCGAAGTTTCCGTAGTACGTGATCACTTGATCCACTCTGCTGCATCCATTCATGGCCGTGTTATAATCATATACAACAGTTGGGTTTTCCTTTCCCTTCTTAGTTATTGTGCCAGTGGATGCACTGGAAGAAACAACATTTGCCAACAAAATCATTTATAGATGTGCATAATGAGTCGCATGTCTGTCTTGTCCACAATACTTCTTACTTACTTGGTTATTTGGGTGGAGAATAGGCATCATTGCAGGCGACACAATGCCGTAGCTGCTCCGCCCTCCTCTCCAGGATCCATGAAAGGGTCTGCTTGCTGATCATGCCAGTTATCAGCTGGTTGGATATTCTTCTAGCTTTTCCACGCAGGTTGCTGTCTCTCCCCAACCCTCTGGAGATACCAGCTTCCCTTAGTCTATCCATTGTGAGTGAAGTGGTGCCTTCATCCTCTCTGTGGTGGTTGAACCATGCTGTCAATTCTGCCATGACCTGTTGGTGGATCTAATTGCATGGTGCGCCAATCTCAGCCTGACCGGCTAGCTTTTAGCACATTCATTGCCTTGAACTCCTGCTTGACCAGGGCTAAAGATCTATACAATCCTTGTGAGTCTGCTGCTTTGTATTGCCTCTCGCCAGTCTGCTTACATCATGTGTTTCTTACCTTTTTCGAGGGTACTCATCGAGTCAGTGACAAGAATGGCAGACTGATACTCCGTTTTAATCCAGTTAAGGGCTTCTGTGATGGCTTTCATCTCCATGCAAATACTGGACTTGGTTACAGTTACACTAGTGGCACCTGACAGCTCTCTCTGCATGACACAGTTTACACAGGTGCTGAAAGCCCATCCAGATTTGGCTCCACACTGTACTGATCCATCTGTGAAGATGAATACGTTGCCCTGTTCACTGTTCTCCTCTATCAGCGTCTCTGCAATGCTTCAAAGCAATCTAGTGGTGTGATCTCATTGCATCATTTATTCCACGCTGTCGCCTACTCTTTGAAAGAAAATCAAAGTTTAAGAGGTAGCTTTTTGGCTCTTTTGGGTCTATCTCTTGCCACTTTACGATGTAGCCTCCTGTAGTCTTCTTCTCTTTGGTCCTGTTTGAACTCTGGGCAACACCCCCTCACTGTCACCAACATCCTCATCTTGACCTTGATGAGTTTGATGTTGATCTACATTACTATCATCGTTATCCCTATCTCCCTTGTGGTCATCAAATGAATTGTTTGAATCACTGTCAACACAGTCTTAGACTGGAATTGTTCAAGTAAAATGCATGCTCTCTCGGCTGTCATACAGACTGATGGTCTGTGAGAAGCATTCCTACCCAATCCACTTGGTCCTGGTTCATCCATTTTTGATTCGTCACAAAAAACAAGCAAAAAAATTCACCCGCAAGGCTCAAATCACAAGGCTCCCTTGCAACACTTTGCGGTCACTTGGTGCAATAGCACGATGGTGAAAATTATCCGTTCTGGTCACCTGCGCCACGCCGGAGAAGTCTGTTACGGTCACTCTCCTGGCTGGGTGACCAGATGGGATATTTTGTACTGCTGTCTATGTGACTGCAAAGTGTCTACTGGAAAAAAACAATAGGTTGACTTCTTGTGTTGCCAGATTTTATAAATTTTAAATATCAAATGCTAAATATAACACATTTCCTTAGCCAGTTCATCGGCTCGGCGTCTCGTCATAACAGCCACAGCACTGATGAGTCGCCTCAATGGAGTGAATCAGTTAAAAAGACAAGACAAATTGGAAATAGACTGGCGTCTGAAAAAAAATGCAGCAATATTGCCACCACTTTGTTTGAAATGCATATTTTCCTTCTTTGCAACATGGTTCCTTTCATCCATCTCCACCATTCTTACTGTATAGCTAAATAAAGTATGTACTTTTTTTGAAAGAATATTTTTTTGTTGTTGTTGAATGAAACAAATGTTCACCAGTGAAACAAGAAAGTAAGTACATGTTTTTCTTTTTCTTTTTTTTTTTTATTTATATGGTTTAAAGTGCATAGACTGTACAAGGTGTTCAAGGTTAGCCAGACTTTTTTTTTTTTTTTTATTTCCTGGCAAGACTACAATGTCAAGCCATGCTTTTTTTCCACTTTTCTTACTGGTTGCTAATTGCGACCTTTTTGCTAACAGATCTATTCAAACAAAATTCATGCTGACTGCTGCAGCTCCAAGGTCTATACAATAAGATGTAACTATTGGTGACGATATGTGTATTGCTAAGAAAGAGGCAGTTCCTCACTCTACCACCTCTATGTGTAAATGAAGAATTTTCCTCCTTTTGTGATCAAATCATTTTTAATACAGTGCAGAGAATGTGTTCTTTGGGATTGAATTATGTGTAAGTGTTGGTTTTCTGGGAAATATTTTTACGCAAGTTCATTTCCAGAACTGCTTGGATGTCTTTCTTTTGGGGGGTGGGGGAAGGGGGGAGTGTGTTTATGTACAAAAGGTTTTGATGTTCAAAGTTCAATTTTGAATTTACATGTACTTAGTGCCTGCTTTTATTCATTAGACTGGACTAGATTGTTTATTCACTGCTCTGTGGTTTGATCAGTTGTTTGTTGCACACTTTACAAATTGGTTCTACTGATTTTTTAGGGGGTCTGAGAGAGATATTTTCTGCCAATCTTATCTAACAACAAGTTTGCCATTTGAACCTCGTATAACGTTGCAGTTTTGTAATTGAATTGTCTTTGAACTAAAAAATGGTCAGGCTGTTTGTGGTAAACTTTTTGTATCTTCTCATCTTATCTGCTCAGGAATTAATGTGTAGGATCTTTTTGTACGACAGTCAAACAGGTCCTTCATAACCTGAGAAGTTTTCTTTGATCTGTGTTTTGGTTGTTGTGACATTCCTGATTACCTAAATATTTTTCTTCTTTGTTTCTTTCAATGGAATATTTGTGCACTGTATTCTGATCATGAATTAAGATTCAGGATAGTTTCTCAAATTACAATCAGGTATTTTGTTTTGTTTTAAGTATGGTATTGTTTTTCTTAACAAACTACTTTTTTTTTCTCACCTTTTTTTTTTGGATGTATCCATTCCTGGTTTGTTTGGGGGGGGGGTTTCTTGTCCTCAGTGGATGATTTGTGAGGATTCTAACTGAGAGAAGAAGTGAATATTCATTGGGATGGTTGTGCCAGTGTAACTGGGATCTTTGGCCCCTCTACGACAGTCCACTTCATTTTGTTTGCTTGCCATTGACGGGGATACAAAAGTAATTTTTTTTGCCATGTAATTCCTATTCTCTGTCCATGACATGTACTTTGCTGTACTTATACCTGCGGAAAAGCATTTTGTATTGTCACCTTAGTCACTGTCTCACTTTCTGAAGGTTTTTTAAACTTGGAACGACCATTAAAATTTCAAGATTTGAGGGCTTGGAAGGATGTCATGAGTGAGATTAATGTTCAAGCAAAATATGCCACTTCAAGCACTGATGACCAAGATAGGGCTCTTAGAATCCATCCAAATCAAGATTTCTTTATAAGGATGTCCTTCATTGTAGAATGTATCCCTGAAAAGTACTGAGCCATCCATTTCAGCTGATTAGCCACAAATTTTGAGAACCCCATAGTTTTTTTTAACCATCTGAATTTTAATTGCCTAGGTGAGGTCGTAAGGCAAATTACTTCTGTAATCCCTGAAAAGACTAGTCAGCACGTTCGCTTTGTCGTGGTGTGAAATTATGATGAATGCCTCAACAAATGGTCTCATGAAGTGAAGACTGCCTTGTTGTTGTCCTTCCTAGGGAATAATCTTGTGTATTTTCCCTTATTTGAACCTGATCGGAAGTAGTTTCATTTCAGCTGCTCAGTGTAGTGTAAGACTCCATCGTATGTCACTTTTCAAAATGACATATGTAAGAGTCTTACATTTTTAGCAGTCGATTTGATTCAAGCCTTTTGGAGGAGATATTTCCCCCTCGGTATCGGGAGATGTAATGTGTTTGGCCTCTTTATTCAGTCTTTGAACTCTTATGTGTCTTAACTCCATCTACGCCAAATTGTTTATGCATTATTTGTTTGTTTTTTCCCCCATTTGATTTGTTTGTCTTCCTTGTTTCCTTTTTTCTTTCTTGTGCTATTTTGTGTTTGTAGCTTTTACTGTGGTGAAGCAGTAGGCCTATGACCACTTACTTCATTCTTATTGTCTTTTTTCTTGGGTTGACTTTGATTTCAAAGTCAGCTGTTATTTATATATATAATGAAGCCACAAAGATTTTGTTTTGAAGAAAGTCTATTGTTAGAGGTCCTCTGTCTTGGGTATCGATACGGATTTTTTTTTATATTATGGCAGTTGTGTAGATTTTATTTACTATTGAGGTATTTTTGTTTGTTGTATTTTGGGGGGGAGGCATTTGGGGGTTTTTTT